ACTTAATAACTTTTTAACCACTGTTTAATCTGTCAGTTATTTTTGTTAGTATGTTCTGATACGTATGCCGTGCCTAAGTACTTTGTACAAAACAATCGTCTATGATGTTACACAAGCCTAGCCTACCTTAGACCTGATATCACAATAATATCTACGCCATTGTTCCCCATCTTATCTAAATATAAATTTCAGCTTAATCGAATGTAAGAAATTCAATAATGAAGTGTCAAATTCAACAAAGATTTAATTTTCCACTGACTCTGTAACAAGATAAGATGGTAAAAATAGGTACTAGGCTAAGAGCTAGTGAACGCCAGACCTACGTCATTTTATAAAAGCTGAAAGTTTGTCCGCGTATGCTCCCAAATCAGCTTTTATACTATAAAAGCTGATTTTTATAAATCATTATTTGGGCAATAATTAGATGTAGTTTCCTCATCAGCCAGATAGTTTTGACGGTTCCAACTCCTTGCCAGATAGTTTTTTTAGGACACCTAGCTGCCAAAGCCACGATGACCCAAACTTGTGATGCACCATCTTTCTAACCTATAAGTATTGGAAGCATACGCTAACAAACTTTCAGCTTTTATAAAATGACGTAGGTCTTGCGCTCACTAGCTCTTAGTCTATACCACTGTCACGGCCACTGTCCTCCTTCCACCTTTTTAAATACTCTTTCGGCCTGATTTGTAAAAACCAAATTCTCTGTGTCATTGTAATGTTTGTACTTTTGACTGGTTGTTTTTAAGCTCGTTTAATATTTTTCTGTTCGATCTCGCATCTCTCTATCTTTTATAACGCACAAATACAATCCACATTTCTCGTTCACAACACCAAGTAGGTACTTACGTAGTTCCTGAGATTACCGCGTGCAACCAAACTATGTTTTATTAATAATAAATTATTACTAAATACTTGAGTAGTACTTGTTAAGTAGGGAGTACTCAAGTATTCCTTCAAAGTTTGTACAACATTTAAGCCCATCTTGAGTCGTCTACTTCGTTCAAGTTATAACAATATAACCCAAACTAATAAATACCACAGCAACTGTCTGTACATTCGTTGCATTTTCACCCTATGCCATTGGGTTTACGCGAATTTGGAATTACAAAAACATCTTAATATTTAGAAAGTAGGTATGGAATGTTTGTACCATAGACCACAGAAACTAAAGGGAGATGTGACATGGGAGCGGTGCCGGTGCCGTTGCCCAAAACCGAACACATTGCTCGTAACAGCAATGATGACTGACAGCAGCGATGTCTTAATGTAAACAGTTTACATTGCTTGCGTAGTACCACATACTGAAGATTATTCGAACATTGAGTACTGATACCGCAGTGGATATTGAGCACATATTGTGATCACTTTGTGTGTGTGAATTTCTAATGCGACACTGAGTTTCGAACTCAACGCATTAGTTGATTTAGTTGGCATCTGTCTAAGTGTCTATATCTCTATGGTTTGTACCAAAGAACCAATCTGTAAACTAAAGTAGGCTTTAAATTCATTTTCATTATGCAATAAGTTATACATGTTATGTTTCAGAATAGATTTGATTCTCGTAGAATATAATTCTGAAATACCTGTTTTAGACAATACTTTCAGTATCAAACCTAAAGAGCTAAAACCGTGGGCGGAATAGTTGTTGTTGATATGCCTTCATTTTCAGTCGACTAACGTCTAAGAATCTGACGTAGGTAGGTATATTGGCCGCTATTTTCGGATTTTGCTTTAATTCCAAACCGCTGCTTCGGTTAATCGTTTCACTGGGCATAATCTGTAGGAGGACACTATTATCTGATCGGGACGTCTACGTGCGTCATATTCGCAAACATCGCTAGATAGAATTTATTTATTGTAAAACACATGCTAACCAAATGTACCTTTTGTACTCATGAAAAAAGGCGTAAAATATTTTAGTTCTCGAGTCGATGAGACATGTTTTTCGTCAGATATCGACGTTTTATCATAAGAGATCTCAAAAATTTTTGTTAAAACTAAGAAAATCATATTAAGTATGGGCCACTTAGAAGACTGATTATTGAAAAAAAAGTTATAATCAAGCATCAAAAGCCTGCGCTCGCGCCTCCGGCTTCTATCTGTGCCACAGCGCCATCTCGGCTTAGATCGATAAATAAAACACACTTTTATTATGCGTTGATCGATCGAGCATGGTGGTTCTAGAAGGCCCGTGTAGATGGCGTTGATGCACAAGCGATATCCTCGTACTGTACTCGACGTAAGATTATTTAATTTTCCGTGTAGCTAGCTGTATTAATGATAGCTAACATAATGTTATTGAAAAGTACGTTACTATTACATCCTAGAGACATCTTATGAAAGCACGTAATCATTTTCTTTGTTCAGCTTGGCTGCCGTGCGTCAAACTTCAATTTCAATCTACTCTTGCACAAAGAGAGATTTCTACAAAGGAAATTCTTTCGCCAATAAAGCTGCACTATCCTGAATCATGATTACTTTTCACTATAAATATGCAAAGTCCCAAAAGAATATGGAACAGTCTGCCTTTGACGCTACGAGTTTCTAAGCGACAATATCATGGCTGCAATATCGTCTGAGCCAACGCGAAGAATTAAATACATGAAATCAATAGTAGACTGAATATAAATACGGCTTACTAAAATACCAGTCATCTAATTCTCTAAGTTTGTTCGCTTTAAGGAAAACAGCGCAGAAATTAATTTCATTGTCCCCGTACTAACTTCAACAATGAGCTAAGTTTTTCTAATGTAAATCAGTTTACAATGCCCGAACAGCTGTTATTTATCGGCAGTAAGTAATTTGGTCAAAATATGGCTTTTTATTTGACTACTTCTTTTGTGTCGCAATCATCTTTTCAAGCAAAGTTTCCTACGTAATGAAACGAAACGGAATATCATATTGATTATAACATTTTCCCTGTTTTATGAGTGAACAGACAAAAATCTAAGGGCGTGTTTTATCAACACTTGCTTATCAAGCCCGTGATAACCATTAGTAGCAGTAGTAGTAATAAATGTCAACTTTTGGTTGCTCATTTCTGAAATAGGAATATCTAACAGGTGAAGATAATCTTAGATACAAATATCGGAAAGATGAACTCACTGGTATAATCGAAACAAAATTATCTTTATTTGTGTAGACTAATTAAATTAGTACCTACTTACAAATGTAAATGTCTCATTGTTTTTTTGCCCTACCAGCGCTTCGAGACAAACATTTGGCAAGTGCTGAGAAGAAGCGCCGCAACAAACTCAGTCACCACTGTCCGCCGGTTTAAAAATATAAAAAAGTAGGTAACGCAAGATGTAACTAGAAAGTGTGGAAGAACCGATGAAACTAGTTTAAAGCAGATAAAATAATTGTTATATATTAATCCCAGTTCAGCTACAACCTACAACTAAATCATTTAATTTCACGTGGCATCAATCGAAGCGGGCGAAAGCAACGATTGCGGTCACGATATTTTTTTGCAATTAACCGTGAACAGAGCCACTGAACCGATGTTGATGTTTTTGTAGATTTTGTGGCTCGTGACGACTGACGAGGCAATGATAGATTGATTAGACTTTAAAGAAACAGCGAACATTCTTTGCAGTCATAAACCCGGAAACCAATTAGATTCCCTTATTTGCACATCTCCGGTGGAAATGGATCGTGTGGAGAAGAGCGGAGAAGTGTTGGACGCAATTGTTTTTATATTGAATTTGACAGCGGTGGCGGCGTGGTGCCGCTATCTTATTCTGTGGCGGTGCGGAGAAGAGCAAAGAAGTGCGGAAAAGAGCGGAGCAGTGCGGAGATGTGCGGAGTGGTGCGGTGTTTCATAGATAGCAATAGACTGCCAGCTGACAGCTACGCACAGCTCACACATCTCTCGTCTCCGCACCGCTCCGCCCTGATGGAAACCGGGCCTTTAACTACGATGCCAATAATTATATTTAATTTTAAATGTTGAGAGGGGGAAACACTAAAAGCGAGGATTATATCGATTATTTCTTGCGCAGACTCTATGATTCGCGTCCAGAACAATCCAATTAATAAAAAACTGAAATATTTTCTTGCTCGCTTGGAATAACGTGCAAAAAACATTGCGCAAAAGTAACGAACAAAACTAGTCTTATAAAAATAAATTATTGAGAGCAACATCCAAAAAAAAATTTAATACGCCAGTACCCTGGCACAACCGAGCGCTGTACCTACATACAATAAACATGATGACTAATATGTAATGAGAAGTTTGAGAAGGAATCCTTTCTGAAGAACTAATGTAAATATGTATCGCAGTCAAATTGTATAATCCGCCGTTTTACATTACGGCTAGCCATATTCCAAAACAGCAGCATATTACAAAATAGCGCTGTTTTCGAAAATGGTTGGCTGTAATGTAAAACGGCGGATCATACAATCCGACTGCGACATAAACACAGTGATTGGCATGTAAGTATTTAAGTACACTTTAAAATATTTTTCTTCGTCGTCAGTAACATAAAAAAAATAGTTTCTGCAGTTTAGTTTTAAAGAGAAATAAAATTCAAGAGTTATTCATAACTCAAGAAAAGTTACAAGGGTTTCCCTGGACCGTTCCGTCAAAGTTATGGCACGGCCGAGTTCTTGCTTGCGTTTACTCGTCTTCCGTGCCTTTTCATTACTTTGTAACATTTCGTAAGCGTCCCTTTCAGAGTAGAGTAGAGGTAAAAAATAACCGGGAGTTTTCTTTTTGCTTTATGGCGTTCCTTGGGCACTATTTAATCAGAAGTAGACTACTATTTAAGGACTAAACATCACTTAAGTATAAAACGTAACAATTAAAATACAATAATGTATCAAGTGACGTCATGTGGAAAACCAATTCTATATCATTCTTCATTTCAGCCTGTTTTACAAATAAAAATGAAAATATAAAGTTACAAGGTAGGAATTTAGGTAGTACAATTTCCATGATGACAGCTGCCCACTATTACCATTCGATGTACCTATGAACTAAAAAAAGTGCTTACCTTCTTCTCCAGGCCCAGCATGATAGCGAAGCCAAGGATGAATATGATGGTGGTGGACTTGGTCATCGTGTACAGGGATATGGTGACCAGCTCCAGTCCCCAGTTGGAGAAGCCGACATCGATGCCACTAGCGAGGCCAGTTGGCCCGACGGAACGCAGACAGGTCATGAAAGGGAGCAGCAACTGCGGCGTTCTGGTGATGAGGTACCGGATCAGACGGACGACCACGGATAGGATCCATTTGACGATTAGGTGGTACATAACCACGGTGAGCGGGAAATTGAATCCCTGGAACAAATTATGCAATGTTGCAGTTTTGGCACGCTACGATTTATGAACGTCAGGATGGCAGTCTTCGATGAAATTAATCGTAACAATAGGGATGTTTCCTGGATAAAAAACAAGAGTTTGAATTAATCCAGGGTTCGAAAATATCCGATATTTATTATAAATATCAAAATATCGGATATTTATGATATATATCAGATATATATCAACTTTGATATATGTATATCAATTTTGTATGAAAGCTATACTATTATTTTATTGTATTATTCATTAATACTATTGCATATGTGTTACATAAACATGTTTTTAATGTTTTTAAAACTTAAAATCAGACAAATAAAGCAAAAACATAAAATTTCTTTTAAATACGGCAAAATCAACTAAAAAAATAAAAATCTTATGTCAAAAAGTACAAATACAGTAACAAATTTTAAAAGTTGATATACATCATTAAAACCGGCTTGATATACACCGTGTTACTTTGCATTCTTGCCATATTCACAGAGATAAAAGTAGGGAACAATACCTATTATTTAAGATAAACAAGAGACCCCCATAAAGAAAGTACACTAAGATTTTAGTAAATTTGGTTTTTCAGTACAAATTGGAATAAACCCATTTTGTCTCATACGTTCTACAGGTGCAAGTGAAATAAACCTAGTGGGCGTGGCCTAGNGTAGAGCAGAAGGTTTGTGATTCCTAAACGTATAGTTCCAAAATACTGGACTGTCCTGTCGATGACATTGACAGTGGGGCGCCACCGTCAATACCGGATCGCTGGTTCAGATTTTTGCCATGTTGGAAACCATATAGTTGAACGATGGTAGCGCCCCCCTGTCATTGAGTTTAGCGGGACAGTTCAGCGTGGGTCATCTATAACACCCGACTGATGCGCAGAAAAAGATAACTGTCAATGAGTTGTGNCGCAACACATAAACGTTTTGTCTCACAGTTTCACTAAAACAATCCTTTCATGTAACGCGTTTACACTGTTTATCTCTTCTGCGCATACCAGTCGTTTCAAGTCACTCCAAAAATCCATTGGTGTCAGGTCCGAGGATCGTGGTGGCCAAGCTACTGGACCACTTGTCCAATCCACTGTTCACCAAACGTATTATTCGCGCACTTGACGTCCTTATTGTGGGGGAGCACCATCCTGCTGGTAGTAGAGCATTTGGTGTAACGCTAAGGGTACGTCATCAAGCATTTCGTCTAAGACGTCTTGCAGACACTCCAAGCACCATTTTGATTAAATTATTCGTTGTTTGAATACACTTCAGACATTTTTGTATTATTTATAACGTGATTTGTGATTGATGGATTTCTCAGTTTTTTCCAAGTGTCAAAAAGACATTTTAAAGACAATAGATTGCAATAGATATTTAAAAATACAATAAAAAGTAAAAAAGTCTTCATCGCCATCGCCAACAAGTGATGTGCATGCGTTACGATAATTAGTGATGTGTTTAACAGATTATCGATAAAATAAAATACTCAAGATTAAAAAAAAAAATTTTCGGGTATTATTTTTTTAGGGATTTGTGTTCAGTATCAGTAATATAATAACCTCTGTAAATATGGCAAGAATGCAAAGTAACATCCTGTATATCCTCGAACCCTGAATTAATCCGTCGGTTAACTTAGCAAAAAATACTCAACACGTATTTTTCACTTTTCAAACTAATTAAAATTAAAAGAGAAAGCACGCCAAGGTTCCGACGAAGAGGCCCGTGACGTCAAGGCGTGCTTTTAAAAATGTGGCAATTTCAACGTATAACTTCGTAATTACTTGTTTGATTGACAAATAAAAATATATGTGTAAAATATTTTTTGATATAGTGTAATTGACGGACTTAAAGTTTTTTTTTTATTAAAGAGCATCTACACAAATATAAACTGTACCTTAACCCTATGTCAAATAAAAATATAGTTCAAAGTTGATTGACTAACAGTTAAGTTGCACTAACTGTATAGATCTACTAAAACTGTACCTAGGCCCTTTATTTGTAAATATACTATCCTAGGTCATTTTGGAATCTAATAGTACCTAGACAAATAGACAATACATAGGTAACTAGTATTTTTTATCAACAGCTTAATAACTTTACCAACATCTGGCAAAAAATTTAAATCAATCTTTTATTAAAAGTAAATTATTTTTTTTAAATTCATTTCTTTTTTTTTATGAATTTTCTGATAGATTCAGTTTATTCTGTAACCTTTTATTGGTACCGTTTGAAAGAGCTAGTGAAGCACTTTCAGGATCAGTAACCAGCCCCCTTAGACAAAACGCACTTTTTGATCGAATCGAAAATCGAATCCGTCAAAACTCCATACAAAAAAGGGGCTTTTCGACCACTTTTCGACTGGTTTGCGATTATAATTTGCACTTTGTCTAGACCCACAGTTTTTCAAAATCTTGTATATTTTAGAAATAATCGAGTGAGATCACTTGTCATTTCCATCCTGTCATATTGGTAACATTAATGAAAAATTTGATAAATAATATGAATGAATTGAATTTAATAAAAAAATCAGTCACCAAGTAGGTACTATCTGCTAAATGTCTAACTAACAACAGACAATTTAATATAATCCATCTTTTTTACTATGTACGAAATGTCTTAACACCTATGCTAACAATGTTCTTCAAATTCATAAAGATTGGTTTTTAATAAGAAAGGTCCACTTCCACTTAAGATATTTTCACTAAGGGCTACAAACAAATTTAAAGTAACTTCAATATCAATACTAATACATTTACAACAGAGATAATGCTATCACTAATCACACACTAATCTCAAAACTCAGTGTTGAATTCAATTATTAACCTGAACATTAAAAAAATGGTATTTTTTACTGTTCAAATTTAACTAATGCTATCTACAAGTAAAAGTAAAAAAAATATGCATATTCTGCTCTCAGAGGTGTGTTATAAAGGGTGTAGACTGACATGAAGTAACTAGGTTAGGGCCCAATCAGTATTTAAATTAATTTATCAATGACTAAATGTAACAATTTGAAATTTTTAAGCATCATCAACTGATGTGGAAATTAATATTACAATCCCCTCAGTCTTCTCTGGTCTGGGGATTTATGCATGCGAAGCGATTCGGCCATGGGGATAATCACCATGGAACAAATGACTGAGTCACTAGCAAGGACAATAGGTATTCAGATCCAAAACAAATTAATTAACTCTCTTAACATTTAAACTTGTGAATAAGTTAAACCAGCATTTATCAAGGCTACAAGTTTGTACCACACGTAGATACGGTATCAACACTCAATTTAAGTTTTTAAAATAAAAAAACTAAGAACATTGTTATCAGCAGCCTTACCTTTAACAGCCATCTCTGATAGAAAGTCAAGCCGATGGACAGTGAGAAGTATATTAGGATGAGCCCCAGCGATAGGAGGCTCTTTTGGACACAGATATCCGACCATTTTCCTTTCGGTTTAGTAGTAAATACGTCGTCTTCCGTGTCAGCTTTTAGCGACAGCTGTTGGTACTTAGTACTGGGCATAGCGAGGGCAGGCCGTCAAAACCACGAATGGCGACACTCAGCTGCATAGCAGAAATAAATTAAAGCACTAAACCCCCAAATATATGCTCGATTGTTAATTCAATAAATTTTACTGAATTATTTTGTTGCCAGACGTGCAATTCAGTAAAGGTCCGAACAAGAACTGTCAACAACGTCAGTCACTTAATGTCAGTGTCAAGTGCAATTTACGTTCCGATTCGCTGGTTGGCGTCCGAGTCGGACGATAACCGAACGGTGAATAAATAATACCATAGTAAAGGGTTTTATTTTTTGCTAGGGCTGATAATTACACAATCACATTGACTATTCAAATAGATTTAAATCAACTAAACTAACATCGACTAATTTCAAATGATTCTGAATTATCTATAGGGAAAAATTGGAATTAATAGTAAGGCCCTCTGTTCAATGTCATAATCAGGCTCCGATAAAAATTTTCAACTACCTACTGCCTCGGATTATAAATAGCATGCCACCCGAATTTGTGAAAGAAATCACTGTTAAAAATATTGAATATAAGCTTGTCGGCGCCGGACACAGATGCTGCAATTATTATTGATGATTAATAGTACCAATCTTAATATTATGTTATCTGTATAAATCTGTAGAGCGGAAGGTTTGTGATTCCTAAACGTATAGTTCCAAAATACTGGACTGTCCTGTCGATGACATTGACAGTGGGGCGCCACCGTCAATACCGGATCGCTGGTTCAGATTTTTGCCATGTTGGAAACCATATAGTTGAACGATGGTAGCGCCCCCCTGTCATTGAGTTTGGCGGGACAGTTCAGCGTGGGTCATTGATGCGCAGAAAAAGATAACTGTCAATCAGTTGTGTCATGTCAAGTGTGAGCAAGCGGCTACGAGGTTATGGTTCCAAAATACTGGACTGTCCTGTCGATGACATTGACAGTGGGGCGCCACCGTCAATACCGGATCGCTGGTTCAGATTTTTGCCATGTTGGAAACCATATAGTTGAACGATGGTAGCGCCCCCCTGTCATTGAGTTTGGCGGGACAGTTCAGCGTGGGTCATCCATATCTTTGAAAGCGTGTTGAGTTTGGTGGAACGTTAAATTGTAGGAAAAGTGATTGTCAACCATCCAAGATATTATCTCCTTGCCCGTTAACCCACGCCTATGGAGATTCCACCCCTAGAGTTCCTTCTGATAGAGACCCAGTGCCTTTAAGCTGAAGGACTATTTCCTAAAGCTAATGTAAAAATATCAAAATAATTTTATGCTGTATAATTGCATGTGAAATTGTGAATGTACAGTCACGGAATGAAAAGGTTCGTCAGTTTTCAAATTGATTCCTTCAACGAATCGCGAGCACATATTACCTTTTGAAACTATGTAACTGTTCGTCAATAAAGTTCAAAATTATTCAGATCCAAGTTGTTTGACGATTTAACTTGTTAAGAAGATCATTATGATTGATAAACTAAAACCTTCTTGTTGGTTCAACCTGCCATTATCTATTGAAAAAAAAACTACATTTTGTAACAATATTGCACTGATGGGATAGAAAAATAAACAAGCAAAACCTCATTCGTTAGCAAACGTCATATTTATTTAAATGTTAGCAGCATTGTTTCTTGCACGGTTATGTTGGCAGGTTTGACTCTTACTTACAGTACCTAGTGCAAGCGAAAACCGACACTAAGGTGACGAACCTTTTCATTCCGCGACTGTACCCACTCCAAACTCGTTGGCTTTACATCAAACCCTGGTGGTTTTTAAAGCTATCTAAATGTATTATAATTGCTGTGTTTTAGTAATTTTATTTTCAAAAATAATTTGAAAAATGAAAATGAAAATGAAAATGAAAAGTATTTATTGCCAGAATCAAACAATACAATAACTAATTTATTCGGACTTTTAATGGAAGTGAATAAATCGATTGTTTCGTGCTTGTTACAGCATGAACTTTACCGTGATACTGAATTGCACATCAGCTGATATGAAAATGGAGCGTGCGACATTACAAATTAGCGTAATCAGAGCTCAGCGTTGCAAATCGACTAGACGACTAAAGAATCAATTGGTTAATAGACAAAGATGTTTTTTTTTCGTTCACGTCCCTATCTCCCTACAGACATCTTGTGTCACTTCACTTCAGTCACTTGTCATTGTTGTCATTTTATTTGTCAAACGTGACATGAGAAAAAGTGTGTGCGTGAGTTTGTGTGGGTGAGGAGAAATAAAATCAATATTTATTATCAATACACCTTGTCTATCCTTTACATCACGATTTCAATTTGGCACTGGGGACATTTAACAGAAAATCTCGTGATAAATTAATCGTAGAAATGAAAGTACATTTCTAATTTCAAAAATTGTGATTTGTTATCTAATATGAAGTGAGTCTGTTCTTTGTTATCGACACGTCCAAGGAACTCCCAAAAGATGACTGATTCAAGTTCGTACTCATCTTTGATGGCGCTTGTGGACAGCCACCTGTCCAAGACCAGTGTGCAGGCAAGTGGATCAGAGGGCAATGATAGTCCGTTTCCTAGATTGCAACTGCCAAGATTGAAAGGCCCAAATGCGACCTTGTCGGAAACTCGCCTGACGCTTCCTTCAACGCAGCGTCTGCCACTGCCCACGTTAAGCTTGACTGATAGCCCGATTCAAGAAGTCCTGGCCATGCAAGTCAGCAACATGCTCAAAGCTAAAGAAAAGAAAAAGCAACAAGAAGAAGAGGCAGCACGACTTGCACGCGAGCGCGAAAAATTAGCCGAAGAAATGAGGAAACTGAAGATGGAAGATGATAAAAATGATGAACATATCATTGATTTAGTCAAAGCTGTAAAGGAATCGATGACATTTAAGAAACCAGACCAACCAGCCCCTCGGAAGAGAAAAGTATCACTTAGCGGCAATAGCTCTATCGAAACATTGTTTGAACCAAGATTTATTGACAGTGAAATTAATCCGGTAAAGGTGAAAACTCCGGAACCTTTATTACCATGCAAGACCGATATGTCATACATCTTGACGCAGAAAATAAGACGAGGCAAATGCTCAGCATTTGGAAAAGTGCTCACGTCAAGACTGAAACCTGTAGCTGCACCGTACTTAAGAGAGACAATACATTCAAAGGTTGTAAGGTTTGATTTCTCAACAAAATCTCCATGTGATCTGATAAAAGAGAAACTACGACAACCCCGGCCGTATCCATCGCGTACATTTGACTTATTGAGCATATTCCCAGACTTGGAGGAAGAATTTTCGAAGTAAAATTGTAAATATTTATGATGAATGAAGGCTGGACATTTAAGATCAGTTGCACTGATGTATATCCAAAAAAACTATCAGTATACAATGAATTTAAACTTAAGATTTTAGACAGTCAGTTCTTGGATGTATTTAGTTTAACTCATTAGTTTAATTGGCTGTAAATTAGGATAATAATAATGATTATTATTGTAGTATACAATACTCACAATGAAATATAACTAGCTATAGAATCAGGAATGATGTTGCACAAAAATAAATTGTCTTTACTATATTTAGTAATTAGTTAGGTAAATAAAATTTGTAAGTTTATAGACTAGGGTGTTAGCACGGTAATATTATTAGTATTACCGTGGTGTTAGTATGTTATACTAATATTAATATTGTAATTAATCTATTGGTCACTGCTTCACATACAACTGTAGTGGTTGTACTTATTTCTGACTTACTTTCAGTTTTTATTTAAATTCAGTTTTCAGTAAAGTCTTGTGAATAGACAAAATTTTTGTTAGCGTTGTGACTCCCTAATAATATTGATCTCATTTTTATTTTATTTTCTTGTAAACATATCAACCATGGTGACTAACCGCACTGCACAGTTACAGTTAGGCTGAGTTGCACCATCTTACTTTAACAAACGTAAAAAATCTGTCAAACCTCATAAAAAAAACACCGGTTATTATCATAGTTACCGTCAAAGTATGTTGGTGCAATTCAGCCTTATTCAAGGACTTAAAGACATATGATGTACAATAATAAAATTATATTATTTGATAATTAATATATTATTATTAAATGGGATTCAAAATCATGTTTGTAATATTATTTAATACTTATTTTTAAGGCATCAAGTTGCCATTGGCGGATTTAATACATGGAGGCATTCTCTCCCAGCCCAGCCCAGTAAAGACTGAAATCACGATACTTCATATTCACAAACATTTTACTATGATGTCTCATAGTGCGCGTGGACACACAGGGTGACACGAACCAATCACAGAGCTGTATTCAACGCTGTGCGTTCGATTTGCCGCTTTCGTTTCTGAATACAGGCGTATGTGACACCAATAACTACTGTGGGAGTCGCATCGTGTCAGCCGCCGTACTACTATTAACATTGCTGTGCTCTTTATTGTTTATAAATTAATTTAATAACTGCGATAACAACCCCGATAATTCATACTATGTAGCTTGCTCTGTATGTTTTGCAATGCGAATTTTTATTCATTCATTTCCCTCTATAATGCTTTATTGACTGGACTAATGGCTCAATAATAATATTTTGATTTGATTTCTTTATCCTAGTTTACGTTCACGATTAATCCTTCAAGCTCCGCGAATCTAGCTAGACACATTAGATAATCAATTGTTATGACATTAATTAATGCCGTCTGGGACTCAATCGGTTAAGGCCTTGTCCAGGAGGGCGAATTCGCCGCGAATGTCTTCGCGCGTACAAGTACGAATTTTCAACTCGCGCGTGTTTTGTGGACGCTATGTGTTGGTACGCGCGAAGACATTCGCGGCCAATTCGCCCTCCTGGACAAGGCCTAAGCAAAACAAACATGTGCGTGTTTGGAATTGAAAAAAAAAATCGTTTTTAGCCTAGGCGCAGACCATCGATTTTTCGTCGGCCGATAGTTTAGTCGGGTTGAGTTCTCAGTGCGCACACTGATCCAACTAAACAGTTGTATCCCATCAAAAACAATACTTGTCAAAAAAACCAAGTCTCGCAACTCAGTTGTTCTACGGTAAAAAGTTGTGAGATCCATGTAATACCAAGTCCAGGCCAGGAAATCTTTAACGTTTTACGTAAATTATTGACTTGGCCATCGCACTAAATAATTTAATTTACACGTGTTTTCATGCGATGGCCAAGTCAATATATGGGTCATTCCACAAAAATATGTCAACTCTTAGTCCGCGCCACATTTCACATGAAATATTTGTTAATATTTTATTCCAAAATTGTTAAATAACAGCTCACAATGTGCTTTATTCATCACCCATTTATATTTTTTGAAACTATTTTTAAAACATCTTAAATTCCTTTTGAATGACCCAAAACGTCATTCCCTAGGCATGTCCGTACTCCAAAAGTTTGTGTTTTGGGACCCACATTTATAAAAACATCAACTTTATCCTTTGTTTTAATTAACGAATAATCTATTTAAATGTATATTACACCAAATTCTATTAATATTTTGCGGTTTCAATAAACAATAATTTGATTTTCTTTAGTTGAAAAAGAGTCTACAGTTTTTAGCGTCATTCCCTCGCCACGCACTGATTTTATAATTTTGCGCTTTAATATGTAAGTCAGTCAGTGAGTGACAAAATTAAGTAACTTTGACCCGTTATAATTCTTAAACTACTGGTTCAAATTGAATGAAATTTTAAATATACCGTGTTTTTACAATGCCTGCATAGCTAATGAAAATTCAGCCTTCTAGTTTTATCCACAACGAAGTTACAGGCGGTCGAAAATGGCCTGAATTGCTTCGAGAAAAGGATGGTACGGCCGGCCGTGCCGCTTTTTTGCTCGACTTGGTGGGGGCACTGCCGTGCCCCCAGATCGGGCGTGGGTGCGCAGACCGCCGATTTATAAAGTTGGGCCGATTTATTGTCTTCATTCGATAGAGAGCTGTTGAAGAGATCAGTCGCGTGGAATGTTTCCCAGAAATATTATACTTTACTAACACTTGCACACGGCTTCCCCTGCATGAAATTCAGTTTGTCAGAGCAAAGTAAAAAAGTTTAATAAAAATCGGCTCAAACTTATTTTTTTCCAATAGGACATGAGAAGGGGAAATTATAATGAAAAGGTGAAATCGAGAGTAATACTTTAAATAATTAATTTATAATAGATTAATTCGGTATTTTTTGATTAAACTACAGATTTGTTTATAAATTAAAATAACATATAGGGCTATTATTCATAATGATCTGTGACAAACACTGATTCATGCGTGCGAAACCGTGGCCAAAAGCCTTAGTTTCAGGAGTTAACTTAGACTATAGTCTTTTTCACCTAAGATGATCCGTATGACGTTTCGAGTTTGAAAGATTTAGAGATGTCACATAACTAAACCATAGCGATTAATCTATCGATTTTTTTCCAAGAGTTAATAAAAACCTACTTTTAGAGAAATATTTTGTATAGGTGTTATTTAACAAAAAACATGTTTTTTACAATTACAAATAATATTTGTAATTGTAAAAAACATGTTTTTTAATATTATTATTGTAACAATTTTTTATTGATAATATTCAAATTTCATGGTTCATGTTCAAAAAACGATTATTAAAAAGTACTGGTTCTGTTTCTTTAAATTAAAAACCATTAATTTATTTTTAATGCGTTTATTAAAAGTCAATAATCGAAAAATATAGTTGATTTTTGTGATGTTTTTAATAACTAAGTATTCACTGCAATCGATTAATGAACCGCGGAAATAATCGATTTTATTATACAAGAAATACCCCAGCACTAAATCTATTCCGTTTCACACATTGCGTACATGAAATAAATGATATTTTTACATCGTATTTAATTATAATATAATCAATAGACTCAGATTTTACTATATATTTCAAGACAAGGCAGTTTTTTTTTTATTATATTGCTAATAAAATACAAATATTTTTTCAAAAATATTCTGCATATGTAGTATGCGTAATATGGATAACCTTGAAGTGTCATACGGATCATCTTACGTGAAAAAGACTATAAGGAGTTATAATAAAACAATTGGATACTGGTAATAGAGTTATAATAAAACAATTGGATACTGGTAATAACAATATTTATTGAAAGGTTCAGAAGAAACAAACAATGAAATCGTTACACAATTTTTCAATATATTCAAACTTTGTCATTAGACAATAAAAAACAATGACAATACTTGTAATAACAATATTTATTCAAAAGTTTAGTAGGAGATGATGTTGCACAAAAGAAACAATGGAATCGTTACACAATTTTTCAATATATTCAAACTTTGTCATTAGACAACAATAAAAAACGATGACAATACTGGATATGACAATATTTATTAATGGGTTTAGTAGATGATGTTTCACAAAAGAAACAATGGAATCTTTACACAATTTTTCAATATATTCAAACTGTCATCCTACTTCCCACTAATATTATAAATGCGAAAGTTTGTATGGATGTCTGGTTGTTTGTTACTCTTTCACGCAAAAACTACTGAACGGATTTTGATGAAACTTTACAGTATTATTGTTTATAACCCAGATTAACATGCCATGATATGTATAATTTATGACGATCTGTGACAAAATAAATTTCACGCGAGTTCAGCCGCGGGCAAAAGCTAGTTAAACAATAAAAAAAACAATGACAATACTAGTAAGGGTAATAATAACAATATTTATTTAAAGGTTTAGTCTGTGGGTTTAGTAGATGTAGAAAAGAAACACAAAACAATGGAATCATCACACAATTTTCCAATATATTCAAACTTTGTCATTAGACAATAAAAAAACAATGACAATACTGGTAATTACAATATTTATTTAAAGGTTTAATTGGAGATATTGTACAAAAGAAACAAAACAATGGAATTGTCACACAATTTTTCAATATATTCAATCTGTCATTAGATAATAAAAAACAATGACAATATCAATAAAGATCAATGAAACGATTGAATAGTCATACAAGATGTATTCGAATAAACGTTTTAGATGATAAGTACCTACCACAGACAATATTATAATACTAGTACCTAATGACTAATGCTATAGAAGTTAAGGGTCAAAATGGTATAATTATTTCAACTTCGTCTAGAAAAAAAAAACATCCTATGACAAACCTTGTCCAAATCCGAATTTCAACTGTCGATGTTCGATGCGTTTACACTTTAATATAGTCAATTTAGACTTATAAAAACAATGTGACAATAAACAAAACAATGTGACAATAAAAACATCGAAAACCGCAGATATTTTGACCAAAAACATATTCAAATTTAACAGTTGACGGACGGATTGGAATTGTATAGAAATCCTGCAATAATTGACTTACATAAATGTATTTTAATCCATGACAATAAGGATAAATGACACATCGAAATCGTTACATAGTTTTACAATGTATTTTATATTTTGTCTATAATTCATAAAACATCAAAATCACGACAGTAGTTTCTAATTACATAAATATGACGGCCAAGAATATCCAAAATAACAACCAGAGCTGTCTCCCAGGCTCCATTCTATGGTAATGGTCTCATCTGAAACGGTAGGAAAAGTTATTTTCTGTTTTGAGAATAAACAAGAGCCCTTATAATATAAATGTAAGTTTAGGGTTGCAGGCAATCGTAAAAATACGCACAATATAATAAAGACAGTTTTGTGTAATGTGTTTTTAATTTGGTTGACATTATTTTTTATACGACCGTGGCGCTGAGTAGGTTAAACTTGCATTTGCTCGCGTGAATTTCGTGTTCAGAAATCATCGAATATGCCAAATCCTCCATTCGTCATAGATCAGAGCCCCGATTACGGTAACTTTTAACGTCTACAATCCAGACGCGTTTCTGATTCTGCGATACGATTGGTCAAAACAGCTGACGTACGCTGTTGAACGATGTGCATGTGGATTGAGTGATCCTTGCTTCAATCTTAACAAAAATCGAGGAAGTTTTACTTAAAATATGTTAAAACATTGCGATGAAGTTTAAAAATTTGTTAAACCTAAGATAAAAATGTTATGGCCAATAAATAGGAGCACTCATACCGCACGCTTTAAGAAAACGTCAACATGTTTATTTCAGAAAATAAAGCCTTTCTACTTCTTTTTATAGTATTGAAAAATTGTTAAGTCTCACAAAATAAAAAATCATATGTACCCTAATCAACATTTTCCTTTAGGAATCATCTAAGCCTGATATTTCTTAAATTATGAAGGGTTCGGACAATATTTTCATTGAATAATGTTTCCGACAAAGGTTGTCAAATTGACTGACATGTTTATCGTATAGTACAGTCCACTATGAAAATTAGCTGTAGTCTGTTTCAACTACCTATTTTAAAGTTTTTTGTCACTTTCTAAGTTTTGAATTTTATGGAATTGGGAAAGAAGTACCGAGTTTGAAGCGTTCATGAGCAGACATTGCAGTTGAATATTCAAGTTCTGAATTTGATTATTGATGAATAATAAAATAAATCCTACTAGCTCGATTGATGGTTTCATTTAATTTATTTAAACCAGGTTACCTTTAATCATATTTTTTCGTTAATTTATGAAAATATCAAATTAGCCCGTAATCCTGAATCCTGATACATACATTTAGCCTATTAATTTAACACATGTACGACTGTACTCAGTGTTGCACTATCAAATGCAATTGACGCGCCTCTATGCCAGGGTTTTTATGTTCCTGGTCAGGCTATACCTACATTTTCAACAGTCCATGTTAGAACAGTAATAAAGAAGCAACATATTATATAAATATACCACATGAAATAAATACAACAACGTATAGTATACCAGTTTTCAATTCTAACGTAATAATATCATTCATGATAATCGATTAATATTGCTTGCAAAAGCTTAACATTTTTTTTACATTTTGTGCTGTATCAAATAAATATTATACTATAATCTAGCTAAAGTTACAATTTCGAATTAAATACAACCAAATCTCATAACACAATCCGCTCTCCGCTCGCCTTTGGGCCATAATTTTACTCAAAAATACATTTGAACGCTTTAGCTTTAGGGGTCGCGTGACAAATTTTAATGCCAGCGATTTTGGGTTTCAAATCTACAGGACAATTAGTGTAATAAGAACAAAAATGTATGCTTGGAGTCATGTAGTTTTATGTAGGTATATTATAATATATTATGGTATAATATAATATATCTTCATTTTATGTTAAGTATAATTTCATATTACTGAAAGGATCTTCAGTAAATTAGGTATACTTAATTATTTGAGGCCGGGTGTATTGTGTCATAGTTGGAAGAGTTTATTATTGTCATTTCAATATCAATATCATATAATATTGCTACTGGGTCAAATGAGTACTAAGTTCAAATCTACTTACAATAGTAACTTTAACATTAATATTATAACAATATCATTTCAGGCTGTTAAGTCCATCAAACTTTTAGACTTTCTATTATTCTCAGTCTTAAATTTTGAGAAGCCCTAATGTTGGCAAAAGCAGGCATTTATAACAATAAAATAACAATAGGCAAGAATAAAAACATGACCTCACTTTGTAGGCTAAATCCTCCATTTGTTGACCTGATTACCTGTTGATCCTGACTATGATGATCACACTGATGGAAATAGGTTACAAATGTCACAACGTTTATAGATAAACTAGCTGTGCCCGCGACTTCGTACGCGTGAAAACCCGTTTTCGCAACATTTTTCATTGTTACTCTGCTCCTATTAATCGTAGCGTGATGTTGTATAGCCTATAGCCTTCCTCGTTAAATGGGCTATCTAACACTGAAATAATTTTTCAAATCGGACCAGTAGTTCCGGAGATTAGCGCGTTCAAGTAAACAAACAAACAAACTCTTCAGCTTTATAATATTAGTATAGATATGTGGCGACTCTTTACTAGTACCTACGAGTGTTACACCATACCATAGCTATATCTAAACCATACCATACCATAGATATAACTCAAAGGAGACTGACTGACATAATGATCTATCAACGCACAGCCCAAACCACTGGACGGATCGGGCTGAAATTTGGCATGCAGGTAGATGTTATGACGTAGGCATCCAGTAAGAAAGGATTTTACGAAACTCCACCCCTAAGGGGGTAAAACGGGAACCACGCGTGCGAAGTCGCGGGCGGCCGCTAGTTATGGTAATAAACCTATCAAGCGAGGAGTGACAAAGTGAGAGACTGACGCTACAACTCTGGTGTTCTGCTACACGAGTTGCTTGAAGTTGCGTTAGGAAGTACTTTGGGAAGTGAACTTTCATCTGTAAGTATTCTAAATATAAAATATGGTCTTAGCTGCTAAATATTGCTTAAGATTAACATTAACAATACTACCCCATTGGTTAACAAATCAATAGAAAACACTTCATGACCAAGTCAAGTTTGTTACCGATATTTTTCTAATTGACTTATTAAAAAGATTTAACAATAGTTTAGTTAACGTAGTTTCAGTATTTTCAATCTCACTCACGTTCATAACGAACAATTCGCATGAGCGAGGACAGACAGAATTGAAAATACGAAAACAGCGTTCAAGAATCTTCTGCTGCTTCGAAGCGATGCTACGGCCGGGTCGTGGTGGCGATTCATTTGGAAACTGATGCAATATTGAAGTTTTGAAGTGAATATAAGCTGTCTTGCTGAAGCTGAGTTAATCCAAGAAATCGAGCGTATTTTCGTATCGTAGTTCTAGGGCTGGTAATGGCGGCCGAGAAACTGGTGCGGCTCGTGAAGCTTCCTCGTGGCTTGGTACACGTCGCGCTCCTTATCGGGGTACTTTGTCGGCAAGTTCGGCGAGTGCAGGTTCACCTTGGCGGCGTATCTGTGGGGACAACAGGGATGATGACTGGGTAATGAAATCGAAATTCTATTTAGGCCGTCAGATAGAATAAAAAAAAATTGGACACATATTTTTTATTTTTTTCATAATCGAATAATTACAGTATTATATTGAGTTGAAATGACGCGTGAAGTCACTTTTGAGTAAAAAGTCTACTCAAGCGTGACGTAACGCGCCATTTCAACTCGATGTAGCACTGTTATATTGACGGACAAATAATTGAAATTTTGTCATCTAGCCTATTGCAACTATCAAATATTACTCAAAGGGCCTAAGTACTGAATAAATGATTTAATTTGAAGTTGGAACTCACCTTATACCAGCTATATCGATCTCGTAATGTCCACCAAGCACGTAGTCATTCGTCACCTTCTGAGCGACGCCGTCTTTGTCGATGTTTTGAACGAACCCGAGGCAAACCTAGGGAACAGGAAGATATGGCAAGTATCCTTGTCTAAGTGCTGTCGGCCTGGAGGTGATCTAGCGGGTTCATTCCCGAATTCCCCACTATGCTATTCCCCAGTTTATTTTTATTAAATAATTAAAATTTATTAGTTTTTTCCGGTGAATCCGCCTCGCCGGCCGGACGAGTGCGGTCAGCGGGAAACAAAAAATAAAATTTATATATTATTTAATTAATCATTGGTGGGGACAAGCCTAGTGGGGACAACGGGAATAAACCATCTAGTGCACCTTTGACTACGCATAGCATAACAAATTAATAATATTACAGCGCCACTCCGCTGCTTGCCGCAATAGAATGAAATCGCCGCTCCACAATAAAAAAAATCGCTATTTCCATGTGAACTGTGCGACTACGCGCCGCGTGGCCTATTTTTTTCAGTTCACTGCGATAAGTTAAGTAATTCGCTTTGCAGTGATACTCACCCTCCAATAACGATGGCGTGCGATTCAATATTAATTAAACAAAGCACCAAGTGGTGCTAATAACAATTTTCCTAATCAACAAGCTAGTGATGGGCGGGGAGTAACTACACGGCTTCGCTGACCGTACGACCCACCTCGGTCGAGATGGGCAGAGAGACATCAATATTGTAATTCCACATATTTTTTTCAAAATTATGTGTATTTATGCTGTATGCGGGTGGCGCATTTCGGCGATTCTGGCGTTAAGGAAATCTTTTTTGCTGTGGAAATCTTTTCTTTTGTGGAAATCTTTTCTTTTGTGGAAATCTTTTCTTTTGTGGAAATCTTTTGTTTTGTGGAAATCTTTTTTGTTGTGGGAATCTTTTTTGTTGTGGAAATCATTTGGTTGAAACTGCTGCAACAATGAGGTCACAGCTGTGTCTTCCGATTTCCGCGATGGCTTCACATGTCCGCAGGGCCGACCTGGGAATTGAACCCAGAATCAACCTATGAAACCTAGATTATAGCCAGCACATTAAGAATTTTACTCATTAATTGTTTAATTTATTCAAGATAAAATATTTAATATAAGTTAATACTCATATTAAAGACTCAATCAATTAATTCAATGTATTCCATACAAATCTGTAAGCCGCTCTTAGATGCGTCTTTTTTTATTCAATTTATTAGACGTCTAAGATGGCTCAATTAATTTACTTTATTTATTAAAGTGTCTCAATAAATTCGATCTTAGCATGCATTAATTTTACTTTATTTTACTTTAATTCATATAGGTATTTCAGCAAATTACAAGTGAGACAAATATTTGTTAAAATTACTTTATTCATCTTTCATGGCATGCATTATTTTAGATTTTAGAATTGAGTCGCCCTAGACATCTTTAACATGTCAAACGATTCACTAAAGTTACTAACAACTAAGTTCAACTTACTTGAAAATAGGCATGCATTACGTTAAAAATGGAATAGCAATTTACTTTTCATATTAATATATTTTCCAAAATATAACATGCATTACGTTAAAGACTGTGCTGCTATATAAAATTAATTTAAAAACAAATCTGAAAAGTGGATTAGTTTATGATAAAGCTGAAAGAAAAAGTTAGTGGGGGGATATCAGCGACCGAAACGTTCGCACGGTGGTCGTGGTCGTGTAGCGGCTCCCCACCCGAGTTGTGTGGCTCACCTGTTTTTTGAACGTGAATCCGTAGCTGGTGGTGGTGGTTTGTCCGCAGTAGTTCCCGTCGCGGTAGATGGGCTCGCCGCCCCAGGACCACAGGTCCAGCTCGTGGTCGTGGTCGGTCAGCAACAGCTGGACGTACTGCCGGCGGACGCCTTCCGAACGCTGCTTCAGCAGGGCCTCTCGCCCGATGAACGGGATGTCTTTCTGTGGAGCCGTGTTTAAATAAAGGTGAAGATCAGCTCATACTAGCTAGGCACTATTTGTTTTGAGTTTGAGGAAAAAAAAATTGAAATGTATTGGGTAGTTGACACACAGTTCTGACATCACATTTCAACTCAACTTACTATTAATTTATCATAATAAAAGTACATTAAAAACAAACTCAATTTTTAGAGCTAAATTGAAGTTGTTAGCGCCATCTATGGGCGCAAGAAAACAACTCATGACGTCAAAGGCGCGGAACCAGAGTGAAGATCGCAGCTAACTTCGCGTCGCGCCGCCCTCCTGTCAACTTAAAATCGAACGTTTCAAACACTCGATAATTTGATCTCGTTGCATACAGTCTGTAAACCTGTCACTTTAAATAAACGTTAAAACCGTAATTTCAATAATAATTAGTCATTGAAGAGACCCTTATTCCTTCATATATTCGAAAGCCTGAGCTCGAAACAAAGTATTTTTAGTCTTGAAATATTATTGGTTAATGGTGTCAAATACCCAATAGTACTCACGTTAGACTAGTTCTAGACAAAACTTCACCATGTTGGTATGTGTCATAGTGCTCACGTTGAACTTGACGCGCCAGGTGCGCCCGCACTCCAGCGGCGTGGTCATGGTGTCCAGGTCCTGGCCCCAGAACTACTCCACCAGCAGCGCTTACGTTTAGTGCCCACGTGTACTCCACCAGCAGCGCTTACGTTTAGTACCCACGTGACTGCCGCCTGCTGTTGGTATGTGTCATAGTGCTCACGTTGAACTTGACGCGCCAGGTGCGCCCGCACTCCAGCGGTGTGGTCATGGTGTCCAGGTCCTGGCCCCAGAACGCGAAGAACTTCTCCACCCGCAGCGCGCGCGACGCATAGTATCCCACGTGACTGATGCCGTATTTCTCGCCTACCGTCATCAGGCGGTTGTATACGTGAAGGGCGAACTGTGCAATAGAAGCTCTATTTCAATACCCATAAACCACATAATTGAAATACTAACCTACCTATGATAAATAAATAAATAAAAAAACAATGAATTACTTTACTTTAAATTCAAATACTAAAACAAGGAACGCGGCATTGTTTCACGATGCGACACGACATCGCAACGTGCCACGACGCACAACGCGATGTCGTATCGTGTTTGTATGTAAGAGTCCTTATACATTATGGGAAAGGGAAACGAAACATAATCAAAATATAATTTTAATTGAAATAAAACCATTTACTTATCGTTTTTGGCCATTTATTTAACAGTATACAGTATTATAAAACACCAGCAACCTCCAGGGCTAATCATAATAATACACAACAACGTGTTTTAACGTAAAACATAAAAAATATTTAAGTTTTTACTGTATTCTCGTGTCATTTTAAGTCTATGTCTCATTCATAAACAAAAGAAACGCCGCCCCGTCTACCTCTTCTCAATAGATCAAACCTGGTCGAGCTGGCGCAAATGAAGGCCCAAAACCAATAATAAATACCTCTTCTCAGTTTATTTCTAACTCGTCTCACTCGTTGTCCTCATAACAGCTCTGGTTCTATAAGATTTTAAACTTTCGCGTTCCATTTCAACTAGTCAGTCTGCTTGTGACCACGGCTGCAGCATCGCAGCCGAAACGTCAAGCCGTGAGTACATAATGTAACTCATTAACAAACGTCGCGTTAAGACCCGTGTCTTACTATTTTAGCTCTGGTTCTGACTCAATCATCGATGACTTCTTCCTCGCAAAATTCATATCAGTTTAGTTTCCCTTCTCCGCCATTTAATTCTGAAAAAACATTTTTAAAAACTCGAAATTAAATAATATTAATCCATTACTAATAATGTTCACTAAATACAAGAAAAGTATAAAATAAACTTACTTGTGTCATATTGAGATTGTATGGAAACACCATGGGAAGTGAAAAGAACATGGTTTATGAATATTGAATCGCTTTGGATAAAGATTTACCGTGCTGGGAGCAAACATTTTATTTGTTCAAAAGTACCCCTGCCACTGCAGAACTGGCAACATTGATACTAAAACCGGGGTCGTCGGATACAAAGAAATCAGGTTATTTTAATACAATTAGCAAAATTTACCAGACAGATATATTTTAAGTTTTAATTGCAAACGGCTGAATATTCTCGTTCAACTGAAATCTCGAGCATTTTAGAATCGTACTAATTACGGAAATCTATACTAATATTATAAATGCGAAAGTAACTCTGTCTGTCTCTTTCACACCTAAACCACTGAACTGATTTTGATGAAATTTGGCATAGAGATAGTTTGAGTCCCTTGAAAGGACACAGTATAGTTTTTATCCCGGTTTTTGAAACAGGGACGCGCGCGATAAAGTTTTTCTGTGACAGACAAAATTCCACGCGGGCGAAGCCGCGGGTGGAAAGCTAGTAACTTAATAACCTTTTGAACAACACAGTGCTCGTTCGTTCCATTCCATTTCTGGAATTGGATATTGGCAAGATGACAGCTTAAAAATGTAAATATCAATTATAGGATGCAATCCTGTCCTTCGTTGGTTGAGTTGAGAGAAAAAATCTGAGCATTTGCAAACATACAAGTAATAGGCTAGTTTCCTAAAAAAATTTTTTAGTCCTTCAATTTTAATTACAATAAATATTGGGCACATACATTTTTAATTGTCAATCAAACAAATAATTACAAAGTAATAGTGTGTTGAAGTTCCGCGCGACGTCACAAAGTGCTGCGCTTTTAAGCACTCATTGACATCACGGGCCTTTTCTTTAGAACTTTGGCACGCTTTATCTCTTTACATTTTCATTAGTTTGAAAAAGTTAAAAATACGTGTTGAGTATTTTATGATAAGCTAACTGACGGACTAATTAAAACTCTTGCTTTTTTACCCAGGAAACATCCCTATTCTATCGGTGATACCGACACTGCAAATTAACTTACCTCATTTGGAATATACAGCACGTATCCAAGTTCGCCAGTGTGCGTCAGATTCATCGCACGTATTCCGTTAGCGAGCCCGACGTCTAGTTCCTTGAACGTGAAGAATGGGAAGTTCGACGGGGACAAGTCAACGTCAGTCAACTCCGAGAGCAGTGTCCTGGTGAACGGACCCATGACGCAGATGGCTGTGTACATGGATGTGACGTCAGAGAGCGTCACCGAGCCGTCGCGTGGCAGGTGACGTTTCAGCCACACTTTGCAGCGTGTCTGCTGGATGGTCGGCGCGATCATCATGTAGCTGGAATGGAGAGAGAATGTAGAGAGTTAGGGTGTCTGATGCCCGTTTTCACCATCAATCCCAAATTCTAAAGTGACTAGGTATATCAGAAATTTTGTTTAACTAGGTGTCACTTAAAATTAGGGATTGATGGTGAAAACGGGCATGCTTCTCACGGCAGGATCTCAGGGTAATTGAGCTAAAGGAGTCGGAACTACTCGCTGCATCATTACTGAGATATATTGTTCTTTTATGTCTACAATCGAAGGATTGCTTGGCTAGTACACGTGTTAACACGCATTCGTTGCCATTGTTTTAGCCGTTTAGTTCTGGCAGTGTGGAATAGGACCACCCCCACGTAAGAGGCGACTAATGCCCGTTTTCACCATCAATCCCTAATTTTTAAGTGACCCCTATGAAAACAAAATTTCAGTTATGTGTTACCATAGGGGTCACTTAAAAATTAGGGATCGATGGTGAAAACCAGCGTAAGAGATATATGATAGATAGGTATGCAAACATGAGGCTTCCCTAACTCGTCTGTCCAATGTGAGAAGTGCAGGCAGAATAAATTCTCCGTTTGCAATTTGTAAATTAGAAAAGGTCGTCCTCCTGCATCGAAAACGAAATGACCCAATAATGATGCTTTGCATTGGAGGAATGTCGAACCTTAACTTCGAACTCCTCCTATGTTCTTCTGATTAATTTCGTTGCGGGTCCAATGACAGTTTAACTTTTCCCCGGGGCAAACTTGACCTTCACTGGTTGGGTTTTTACTGGCGGTCAAGCTGTAGATCCTGGCTACAAAGGAGTTGCGGCGGTGGGAACGAGAGATGAGAATAGTTCCGGTGTTGTAAACTTCATAGTGGTACCACAGAATAATAATAAGTACTACGTACAGAAGCTTTACTTCGCGAAGGTATTTAAAAAAATGTATGCTCAATGTCACTAACAATATGGTGTAATTTAGCTTGTCTCAAGAGTCAAGCTCCATTTTGTTGACAAACGTCAGTGATCGGTACTACACCAAAGTCATAGGGCTGACTTCGGTAAAATGATGAGTGAGGTGAGTTTTCTTTATTTTTTTCCGTCATACACAAGAATACGCTTGCGTAAGTCAATGCTCGATCGTATGTGAGGCCTTGTCGAATAGTAATCCTGTAGGGTGCCATCGTGCTTGTTTTGTTTTCGATGTAAACTCGCGGAGATGAACAGGCCTGGTGGTACTTACTGGTTCTCCGATATCCTGGCCAGACTGCAGTCGTTCTCGTACCCGCCGCGTTCGTTCTGCATCCCGGTGTGGATGATGCTGCCTGGAGCTACATCCACGTCGTTGGAGCACAGGTATTGGAGAAGGTCCACCACTTCGCGCCCTTTGGACTGAAAGGTTAGGTGTGTAAGGCCGCTTGTAAACATCCATTTTTTGACCGAACAACGGCCCGATTTTTTCACCTGATTTAGCAGTGGTAATATGGTTTATAATGAACGGTGTTTACATGCATCGGACATAGGTCCGGCGAGAATCAACCCATAGTGTATTTTGTTCCTCAGGCCCATACTAACGTGTCAACCGAAGCGCACTGAAATCTATCCCAGGAGTTAAGAGAAAGAAAGAGTTTTGTTTTGAATTACATTACTCGCGACAGAAAAGTGCCATGCAGTTGACGTTATAAGTATAAATAGTTTACATGCTTGCGTAGTACTAAAGATTATTCGCACGTTGAGTACTGATACCGTAGTGGATAATGAGCACATTTCAAACTAACAAAATACAATCAATCGCACGTGACTGGCCTGCGTATGTAGTGGTGCTGTACGTACATTAATTAATATGGGAACAAATAATCGTACTGAGTGGAATGTGTGCGTGCATCACACTCGTCGCTTATTGTTTTTATTTTGATAACTTTGTGTGTGTGAATTTCTAACGCGACACTGGGTTTCAAACTCGGCGCATTGGTTGGCATCTCTCTAAGTCTAGATCTCTATGATACTGACTAACCTGTAAGTCGATCTTGGTGAAGGACGAGTAGTCCGCCAGTCCCACAGCCTCCCTACACGCCCAGTACTCCCTCTGAACAGTGTCGAACCAGTGCGGCTTGCCGAACGTCTTGGTGTACGCTATCTTGAACGGGCGCGGGGATTGGGGCTCGCTCGTCGTGTCTGGTATAAGATAATTGCTTTTAGTTTCTAATTACCGCTTGATACACTTCACTTGGATGTATGTATATACAAGATGGTGGAGAACACAATAGCTCCACATAAAAGATGTCCTCGTGGTCAAAAGATGGGTCTGCAATCGTGAACAAACTGGGCATAGGCGGAAATCGGGTCAAGGCCTCGCTACACCGGTACTTCCTCTATGCTCAAAGAGATGGACATTCGTGGTTATTTTAGTGGGTAGGCCCCGCCCTTCTGGCGGGGAGAGCCCCACACAACTCGTCGCCATGACCACAGCGGCGGTATGCAGTTTAATGCATTTTTTCCACGTAAAAAAAAGAGGACAGGTATAAGTATCTTTTTCAACAGAGGACTGTCATGTTTCGGAAATGAAAGCGTTAACATGTGGGGTACAAGATTTGACCAACGTGTTTTTAGCATACCACTTAAATAAGACGAGTGCTCAGAGCTCAGGATTGGTCATTGGCATTGCAGGAATCCATAGTGGAGGCCTTTGCCTTTGCTGACGTCTTTTATCTGGTCTCCGCTATATTTTTAAATGAAATAAAACGAATGCGGGAAGCGCAGCATTGTCGAAATCCTTAGCGAAGGCTTTTGTCCAGCAATGGAAATTTTTTGCCTGATGGTTTGGATGAGGGCAGCGCAGGATTGCTTATTGTGAAAATCCTTAGTGGAGGGCTTTAACCTGATGGTCTCCACCATATTTTTAATTAAGACGAATACAGAAAGCTAATTAATGATTGCTCATTGTGGAAATCCTAAGAAAAGGTTTTGATCCAGCAGTAAGCATCTTTTACCTGATGGTGTCCACCATATTTGGATTGGTCTTTGTGGAAATCCTTAGCAAATTACCTTTGTCCAGCAGTAGACGTCTTTTACCTGATGGTGTCCACCATATTTGGATTGCTTATTGTAGAAATCCTTAATGGAGGCCTTTGTCTGGCAATGGGCGTCTTTTACCTTATAGTCTCCACCACATTTTAACTGAAATAATATTAATGCCTGCAGTATTGCTTTTTGTGGAAATCCTTAGCGAAGGATTTTGTTCAGCAATAGAAGCTTAGACCGTCGTGTAAACAATGTGTTTAACTCAATTAAAACGAATGCGGGAAGGTCTACCTTTGTCCAGCAGTGGACGTCTTTTACCTGACATTCTCTGCCATTATTTTGAAATTAATTAGGATGGATGCGCCAATCTGGATCCATATGGAAATCCTTAGGTGAGGCCTTTTTACCTGATGGTCGCCACCATATTTTGAACTTAACACAAATGCGAGAAGGCCGGGCCATTGCGGAAATGCATGGGAGACCTTTGTCCAACAGTAGACATCTTTTAACTGATATTTTCCACCATTTTTTTAAATTAATTAGGATGGATCCGCCATGCCGGATCAATGTGGAAATCCTTAGGTGAGGCCTTTTCCAGTAGTGGACGTCTTTTACCTGATGGTCGCTACCATATTTTGAACTAAACACAAATGCGAGAAGGGCCATTGTGGAAATGCAAGGGAGACTTTTGTCCAACAGTGGAAGTTTTTTACCTGATATTATCCGCCATTATTTGAAATTCATTAGGATGGATGCGCCAATCCGGATCCGTGTGGAAATCCTTAGGTGAGGCCTTTTCCAGTAGCGGAAGTCTTTTACCTGATGGTCTCCACCATATTTTTGACTTACTTAATTAAAATGGATGCAGGCAGCGCAGGGTCGACCCAGGAGCTATAGGTTGAAACATACCAAAGTTTTATACGTCTGTCTACTCCAGCGGTTCCCGAATGGTGGTCCGTGGAACCCTGGGGTTCCGTGGAAAGGCCGCAAGGGTTCCGTAAAAAAATTTATCCCACGTTTCGTGACCGACGTTGTTCGCTCGCACCGACTTGTTTACGCACAAGGGAGGGGCAGGACGTGCGGGCGGAGTAGTACGGGGGTTCCGATAGGAAAAGAATAATCAATTAGGGTTTCTTGGCAAAAAAAAATTGGGAAACCCTGGTCTACTCACCTACAGTTTCGAACCAAGTGGGTCTTTCATACCCCATCACTTGGCCGAAGACAGCGCCATTGTCCCTGAGCGTCGGGTAGATCGGGGACAAACGTAGGTTGCGACCGGTCTCGAACTCGGGGAAAGGGTACGGCAGGCCATAGTGGACACCTGCATAACAATACAGTACACTGGACTATAAGATCTATCTTGGCAGTGTTGAGGTTTATATTCAAAAAGTTTATCAGTATTTCTTTTTTGATCATTAAGGTCATAATAATATAGCATGGACATCATTTAAATAACAGCCGTCGTCATAAACACAAACTGTGAAACATGTTAAGTGAATGTATTGATCTATGAAATCTCTATGAGCCTAGGCGCAAACCACCGATTTTTAGTCGGCCGAAAATTGGACCTGATTCTAATTTGTATGAAGAATCAATCCCATACATGCCCATTGCCCATACTGATTAACTGCCCGACTAAACTATCAAAAAATCGGTGGTCTGCGCCTAGCCTTAAATAAGCTCACATTTACTTTCAATTTTAAACTCTGTAAACAACATGGTGAGTACACCTTACAGAAGCTACGTAGTACTCAACTAGTCAAAAGCACCAAAGGGCAAATATAAATCAGGAAAGGGGTGCTCTTTGAGAACATAAAGTAACAAGTCTGATGCCTCTCAAAGGAAACTCAAAACGAGCTTAATGTGTGTATACAATTAATTAACATCACTCAAAGTTCCTTTGATAAAATAACAAAGGGGCGTTTTCTTGACCGGTACATAATGGAAAAGCAAACGAGAAGAACAACTTGACTAAACGAACTTGAGATGTGAAGCACCTCTTAATAAACAATGTTCTCTTGCCACACTTTGTTAATTATGGAAAAATAGTAAACAATACTATAGTCTATCCAATATAGCTTGATTAGAATGACAGCTGCCATCAAAAATAACGACATAACTTTGTAGTAGCGATCAATGAGAGCTAAATATTGGCGGACAAGAAATAATTCACGTCTGACCTACAAACAATATTTTCGACGACAGTGCTTCCAATAAAAATGTTAATTTCGTGTAAATGCAGCGTTAAATTACACCAATAAGTAGTAATTCGAAATTATAAAAATCAAGCTAGAGTATTAACGACGTCTCTACAAGGTTATCTCGAGTTACAAAAATGTTAGTGATGGGACATATCGACAAATGTCATATTAAATTAAAACTAATTTTTTAACATATTTAACTAAATTTTTTTCTAACTAATTTTTTAACATATTTAAGTCAAGTTATACGTTTTTCAAAATGTTCACTATTAAAAACCAAACAACATTTCATTCTTAAATAATCAAACATTGGAAATCAATCACCGGTATTTTTTTGGGTATTCATAGCACCGTTGCTCTAGAAGAGATGCCCACCGCCCTCTAGCGAGAGGAAAAAACCACTGAAGAACACTGATGATAACGACTACGACTTAGGTTGTACACCCTTGACATGAATTTTAAATTTTACTGACTTTAAATTTAAATTATAATTGTCATTTTTATGAATAAAGATATGAAGAAAAATTGGGTGCATTTTTTATATCATTTTTTCGAAAACTTATCGATACATCTATGTGAACCGTACGAAACATACCCAGCACTAGTCACATTCGTTTGATAGCTGTCATTCTAATCAAGCTATATTGGATAGACTATAGTTAAAGTTAAGTTGACCCTGTAATAAGAACAATGAATTTTTCTATTCCTATTCGAAAACATTAACACTAAACTAGTACTTAAGTTTGGTTAGTACTAATGGTTAAATAATGAGTGACGACGCAAAAACGAACGAAGTCCAGTGCGAAGGCAGTCGCTTAACCCCACCCTCCATGGATGCCAGCGATGACGCACATTTCGCAGTTATCTGCAACTTCACACTAGTTGCTTATATTTCGCCCAACGCACGACAGATGGCGCTAACACAAGATAATGGCCTAGAACAGCCTCGTACATAGTAACCCGCTCAAATGTTGCCATACTACCAGAAAGAAACTACCAAACTTTTGGGAATTTCATACTCGCAATAAATTGACCGACATGGCTCAGAAGCCATCTTGGATACCGAACTGTCACACTTTAAAATCACTCCTGAAATCCCAACATGACTGCGCAGCAATTACGCTTTCCATTTTATACGCCGTTTAAAATCTGGCAACACTAACCGATTATACCAAAGTCCGCCGAAAACCGCCGCCATCTTGTTTATGGATGGTCCAAAAAGTTTCGTAAAGCTCCCATCTTTTAACGTAAGTAATTGTAGCACAAAGTGAGTGACGACGCAAAACGAACGAAATCCAGTGCGAAGGCAGTCGCTTATCCCACCCCCTATGGATGCGATCGATGACAGACATCACATATCGCTGTTATGTCCAACTTCACACTACTTCACTTCACTTCACATGCACGAGCCTGGTACATTGTTGTAACCCGGTTCAATGTTGCCACATTACTAGAAAGAAACAACTAAACTTTCAAGAATTTCATACTCGCAACAAATTGGTCGATATGGCTCAGGTTCCATCTTGAATTGCGTCACTCTTTAAAATCACTCTCTGAATTCCCAACATGACTGCGCATCATTTTTTACCCGACTGCGCGAGAAGGAGGGTTATGTTTTGACACCCTGCCGCTTACAACATGGCAACACTAACTGACTATCGATACTGAAAACCGCCGACATCTTGTTGATGGGTTCACAAGTTTCATAAAGCTTCGTATTTATACACTTATTTGGTTTGATATTACACAAAGTAACTAACCTAAACTAGGTACTAAATAACTAAATTTTCAAAAGGATGCGCCACGATGAGAAAGAACTCGTTTTAACATTTTAAAGACAAAAGGTCTTAGTAGCATTCTATAAATACAGCGATCAGTCCGTTACGTACAAAATCAATCACCCTATCTTTAATTAGTGTGATATTTAAAAAGGATAATTTAGCGCGTTACAAAAAAGTACTAAGGTCACCCCTGGATCTGGTTGAACAAAGGGGCCATACTGAACGTATCTGTACATATGAATACGGCTCAAAATGTATACTTTAGAAAAGTAGACGTAGCTATAGGAACTTACCTCTGCCGTTTCTTCAACTTGTTGCTCCGTATAGACATATTGTGCTCTATAAAATAAACTACTTGCGAGCGATCGCCGCCGGTCCGCAGCTCGAAATGGCCGAGATCCTCTCCCAGACACAACACAAAGGACAGGTGCGGGGAAAATCAATACGCATCCCTTCCAATTAGGGTTGCCAGGTGTCCGGCTTACCCGGACATGTTTGGCTTTTTAGGGACTTGTCCGGCCAACAATTCTCTTGTCCGGCCTGTCCGGATTTTGTTAGGCTTTTTATGTGGGTGCCGCGCCAGTCGAACCACACATGCGCGTATCATGATGTTGGGCTACCGATTCGAAACTGATAGTTGCTAGTACTCATGAGCCATGATACTAATTGCACGTGACATGGCAAAAAAAGTCGTGTCCGGCTTTTAGGGTATAATGTCCGGCCAAATTAAGCACCGAGTCCGGCTTCTGTGTTTTTGGACCTGGCAACCCTACTTCCAATTATTGCAGGATGCACTTTACGCAATCGCAACGTCCCGATCTCAGATCATAGAAAGAGAATAGATATGAAGTCGCGCGTAACTACAACGAGAACCAGTGTCCCCACATTTCCCCCACCACAGCTCCCACACACACATTCAACTGTGTAAGGAGATATTGCGTATAAAAAAGTTCATCCCCAATTTTCCACCCTTGGGGGTGAAATATTTTGTTCAAATTCGCATGAAACCACCCTTTTGATAATACCTATTCAACAAAAAAATAATCGTTCAAATTGGTTTATAATCGGCGGAGATATTGCGTATAAAAAAGTTCATCCCCAATTTTCCACCCTTGGGGGTTGTTTTTTTTTATTATAAAATTTAAATGGGACCACCCTTGAGATATTACCTATACGCCGAAAAAAGATTTGTTCAAATCGGTTCATAATTGGCGGAGTTATCGCGTAACAAACATAGAAAAAAAAATTATGTTATTGCACGTTACGACGCATTATCCAACAATATCGGAGAACATTTCCTCAGTACGACTGAATCGCGACTAACCTGGCGTCGCGGGCGATGTTCGTTTCTGGGCATATCGCGGAGACACGCGCCACGCCCCCGTTTCACATCTATTCCCTTCTATGATCTGAGGTCCCGATCGTTGTAATAAACACATGCATAAATCTAGGTTATCGAGTGTGCGCAATGAGGATCATTTCGATTTTTAGCTGTGAATGCAGATTTATAGGGCTAAGAAATCCTTAATACACAGTGCAAAAATTTTTGTTCTACGACAAAAATTGACGAAGTTATGGCCAAATTACTAAAAAAGTTCACTGACCGCCCGGCGCGGGGACGATGACGTCATTATATCCGATCCGAACGCTGCCGGCGTACTGCGTGGATAGAAAATATTTTTTTCTAGCCAAATTATCAGTTTTAGAGAAAAACTTGTAATGACATTTATTCATCAGAATAAAGTAAGCTATCTGGGCATGACTTCCCCCTCGGCCAGAAGTTGGGTATGATTTATTATTTTTTAATTTATTTATTTTTTAATTATGATTAATTAAGTATTATTATGTTCAATACAAACAATCATTAAGTTACACTCACCCCAACCGCGTCTCCGCATTGCATCGAATCCTATGAAAATGTGGTTTTTGGACATAGCAATACTTATTTTTCACAATTTTTATTTTTAAAAATTAATGGCCGATAGGTAGAATGTAGAATAGTTATTTTGAAGAATAAATGTTATTAAAAGTTTTTTTCTAAAACTGATAGTTTAGCCGGAAAAAAATATTTTCCATCCCATTAGTACGCCGGCTGCGCTCGATTCGGATATAATGACGTCACGCGGCCTTGCGTACGTTGACTTTTAGCGGCAAAAACGGCCTATGTTTATTACTTAATATCTTCGTAAGTAATAGTCCGATTTGGATAATTCAAAAAGATATATCTTTCTTATGTCTTAAAGATTAACGTAGATACTAGTTTTATTGAATTTTCTACAACAGTACTGATCCTCATTGGCCGAATCCATAACTAGGTACAGGAGTAGCGAAAACTGCTCGACAACATCGTCAGCCATCTTGGTTAGATTTTGATAAAAACTTCATTATTTTTAAAAGCTGAAACCGGACATGATCTTAGTAAAACATCTTTATAATGCTTCTATGCCTCTTATATTACACATATTACCACACTAGCGGCCGCCCGCGACTTCGTACGCGTGGATTCCGTTTTACCCCCTTAAGGGTTGAATTTTGTATAATCCCGTCTTAGTGAGCGCCTACGTTCTAAATCTAAAAGGAACCCCCATGCCAAATTTGAGACTTCTAGCACTTGTAGTTTCTGAGATTTCGTGATGTGTGAGTCAGACTATCAGTGACCTTTCGCTTTTATAGATATAGGTTTCGTGGGTTCTACCACTTCACTGAACACAAAACGCTTGGCTTTGTTAGTCCCGAGAGTAACGAACTGTCTTTATTGTGAAAAGATAGCGATCTAGATCATTAGAAATAGATGTAAGCGGGATTGAATTGAGCATGTCACTTTATTTTTTCCAAATATTACAACACTTTTACAAGATAAACATGGTGTTCAACACTCATAAAAAGGGTAATAACAACTCTCCGTATTTTTTCGTTCGTTCGTTCGTTCGTTTTAGCCGAAGTATTTTTTATTTTTGATGAAATGTAGAGGAATGTGTGTGCTTTTAGGATTTTATCATTTATAATAATAAATTTTAAAAAATCTACTTTCCTGGGTGGTTTTGAACCTACGATATTTCGCTTTCTGGGCTGCTGCTCTAAGGCACTGAACTGCGGAAACGTTGGTTAACCTGTTGTAAATTTTTGGCCAGATTTTCCGCTGTAAGGAAGCGTTCTTATTTCCTCAATGTGGATAGTAACTTCAAAATAGTGCGATGTTGTAACAAAACTTGTCACCTTGTATCCACGGTCGATTTAAATTTGAAACATGTTTTTTTCTGCTTTTTCCTAGATATCAGGAAACTGCTTGAATATAACACGGAAATGAAAAACTTATACAAATTATTTTCTCTTTCTGCAATCAGGATGCTCGTGAGAATTCTAGCACTGAAATAAGTACACAAAAACATGGTCCTGCAATAAAAATACTGCTGCTGTAGTCTAAGAGAAGAGGCACTAGGTCCAACTGTGTAGCCCTTCACGATTTTCCTGGAATGTTACTTATTGTTGGTATAGGGGCAGCTATATCCGCAGCACTTACCTGGCACCTCCTTGACTCGGTCTCTGATGAACCGCTTGTTATGTAGCCTCAAGAACTTGTTGATTACCAGGCTCGCACATGTCGTAATTCGTGTAACCCTTTATTTTCTGTTAGGAGTGTTACTTAGACTAAGGACGCTATATGCACAGCACTTAACGGTTTAAGAACTTTATTTCTCAAAAGAATTAACAATCATTCACTTCCTCCTCCTGAAACAGACCTGGGAGACTAAAATAGAAATACGTGTCTTAAAACGACATTTAAGACTGAGTTACATTATGTACTCACGGCTAAACGAAAATGGAAATGCAATTGAAATGGAACGCGAAAGTTTAAAATCTTTTATAAATTACCTGGCACCTCCTTAACCCGGTCTCTGAGGAATCGCTTGTTGTTGTGAAGGCCCAGGAACCGGTTGACGTCTAACTCGTACATGTCGTACTTCGTGTAGCCCTTTCTATCAAGAGCGACATGTACTTCATAAAGCACTTCACGGTCTGTCAAAAGTGTTACTTAGTCCAGAAGCAAAACTTACCTGGCACCTCCTTAACCCGGTCTCTGAGGAATCGCTTGTTGTTGTGGAGACCCAGGAACCGGTTGATGTCCAGCTCGTGTATATCATACTTCATGTAGCCCGTTCTATCAAAAGCGACATGTACTTCATAAAGCACTTCACGGTCTGTCAAAAGTGTTACTTAGTCTAGAAGCAAAACTTACCTGGCACCTCCTTAACCCGGTCTCTGAGGAATCGCTTGTTGTTGTGGAGACCCAGGAACCGGTTGATGTCTAACTCGTACATGTCGTACTTCGTGTAGCCGTCGACTATCTCGTCCACGGTCGCTTCCGCCACGCCGCCGGCGGCTGAAATGCCGACCGTCTTCATTCCGGCGGCGATGTGGTAGTTGAACATCTGAGTGAAGAACAAACACCTTCGTAATATCGACTAGGGCAACTAAACCTAAATTACATTCTACAGATGTGAATCAGTGAATGCCCCTTCAGGAATATTTTCGGCCAGCAAAGGTACTACACAAAGTACAAATTACGTTTTTAATGTGTTCAACCAGTCACATAATTTCAAAATGAGAGAGTAATAGACATAGTACTGAATAAATACACGGCTGTGATTTCGCTACCATAAAGATTTTTAAGTAGAAATAAACCATGTACACAGAAACTGCCAGAAATGAAGCGCTAAGTGTACGCCTTACTTATATTAAAAATATTTATGTACATTAATAAACACACTTATTAATTAAATATATCTTATCCAAAACAGTGAATTGATGATTTATTTACTTAGCAAGTACAAGCAATGACTGCCAGCTTGATCTACAATTAACATCATCAAAACCGTTAACAGTTTTTTGTAAGCTACTCGGGCCAGTTTTACCAGTTATATAAAATGACAGATTGTAAAAGTTTGCTGCTGTGTAGCAAATAAGTTTTGCTGATCAGTGCCTTCATGAAACGAAAAATTGTAATTTATCTAACAGATAAGTTCGTAATAGGTAATCAGTAATATCAGGGTCTTTATCAGCAAATGGTGAAACCGGCCCTTACCCTTATTACATAGTGATGCTGCGGCCTCATTAATCTTCTTTCTTCGGCGGCAAGTATCCGCACAACGTCCGATGACACGAATTTAGCCAATATTGACGCCAAATCCGTGAAATCAAACGCTGCGAGGATATTGTGGCCCAAGATCTTGAGTCTTCTTAATTCTTCTTCCAACAGTGAACATATTCTTCCATGAATTTCCTTCTGCCCGTCGAGTTCTATTGCGTATTGTGTATTCTTTTCTATTATCTTCTTTTTGACTTCCATCAGAAATTAATATCTGCTCGTCGGTTTCTTCGATATAATTTTCCTTCAAATTCGTGGATTTGACAACCCGTTAGCCGTGGGCCCTGTGTGCAGGCGGATCACGGGGCACACAGCTAACAACTAGCACATGCAATGTGAATATACATATTTCGCCTACCCGTGCCAAAGACTTAACTCACAGTTTCAATTCGTCAAGTCTTCCACACCGCAGATACTTTTTGTGAAGCAAAATTTTGCAATATGATAACTATAAGATTTGTAGCTGCGTTAATTTTCGACTTCTTCTCGACTCTACCACGACAGAATAAACCCAGATGGCAGTATTATACAGTCAGCGTCAAATAATTCGTGACAGCACAACCTTATTCCAATTGTAACAAAGACGTGTTGCGATCTTTTTGGCTACTTTGGGTGTCACGAACCGTTTGACGCTGACTGTACAAACTACAAATAACTTTTTCTGGATGACGTCCACTAACGTCTGGACACGATGCTCCACAAAAAGCAACTGCGTCTTGGATGCACCAGAACAAATAAAGTAACTTGGTAGGAATATCAATGATCCAGCAAACGAGGTGTTTCCGAACCAAATTGAGCCACGACCAAGTCAATCATAATCTACGACTAATCATTATACGAGAATGGACCTAAAGACTAGTACGTAAGATAGATTCATCCCGTCGGATGTTCAATCTCGGATTCGCTCACATGAGAACTAGGGCAGTAATTGTCTATTTGCAACTGCCTGACAAGTAGCACAGGGACTCCGGTAAACGGCGATCAGTAAAGCTGCAGGACATCTCAAGGGTTAAATCCTCAACATACAACAACGAAAATTATCAAATTGTACCATACGTATTAATAATAACACAGAAACCAGTAATGCAATTTTATTTTACTATGCTTAAAACCTAAAAGCATTCTAATAAGCGTGGTGATAACCCGCAATTTAACACGTCATACAAATTTTAGGCAATTAACAGAACTGTTCATCAAGATTCTGTTTGTATAATCTATTCTATGGCTAATAAATAACTTATTGAACATCTTAAAATACAGTTCAATTATTATTACACATTCATTATAACTTTATTGGTTATCAAACTGGCAGTTTAGGCTCGCTATTCTAACTAGGTGGTGCTTGAGAGGTATGTTTTGGCAGTTTTTATAAAGATCAAAGTGGCGTTTACCTGTGTCAAAAAATATTCTAAGGCTCCAGTAATAAAGTTAGCTAACTACTCTGTCACTACCTAATCTATGACTATTTTATTGGCAGTTTTTTTTAAAGATCAAAGTACCAAACCTCTGATATTTTCTCGCTCGAGTAATCAAAGTATTAAGTGTGTACATAATGAAGGTCTATACTCTATAGTTAGTCCAGTCATTATAGTAAGTTCACCTCGGAATTCGAGATACCCAGCTGTAAGTCTGTAAATACGTGTATATTGACACCCTAAAAGTTGTCTCAAAACCTACATATGGTAGGGTGTAAGCAACTATTAAATTTCAAGGTCAACGGTCACAAAAATCGGTTTTTTGCGCTTTTTTTAGAAATATCTCATTTCCTGTGGGTTTTTTGCTATTTGTATTTATTATCAATATTGTAGAATACTAAATTCTCTACAAATTTTGTTTAAAAACTTTTTTTATACGGTGAACCGTTTTCGAGATAGAGGGCGGAGAGCGCGCGGTCACTGCATCACTTCAGGTCTACTTAAGCGGTTTAGATTTTTCATACAAAAGGATTTTCCCGCTAATTCCTGTGGGAATTTCGGGAATTCCTTGTTGTAACTAAGCTTTGAGTTTACTAAGGTACCTACATGCCAAATTTCAAGCGTCTAACTTCCGTTAAGCGTTTAGATTTTTCATACAAAAGGATTTTCCCGCTAATTCCTGTTCCCGTGGGAATTCCTAAGTAAACTATAACCTGCCCAGGTGTATGAAGAATAATTGTACCAAGTTTCGTTAAAATCCGTCGAGTAGTTTTTGTTTCTATAAGGAACATACAGACGGACAGACAGACAGACAAAAATTTTACTGATTGCATTTTTGGCATCAGTATCGATCACTAATCACCCCCTGATAGTTATTTTGAAAATATATTTCATGTATAGAATTCTGTCCGTCTGTATGTTCCTTATAGAAACAAAAACTACTCGACGGATTTTAACGAAACTTGGTACAATTATTCTTCATACACCTGGGCAGGTTATAGTATACTTAGGAATTCCCACGGGAACAGGAATTAGCGGGAAAATCCTTTTGTATGAAAAATCTAAACGCTTAACGGAAGTTAGACGCTTGAAATTTGGCATGTAGGTACCTTAGTAAACTCAAAGCTTAGTTACAACAAGGAATTCCCGAAATTCCCACAGGAATTAGCGGGAAAATCCTTTTGTATGAAAAATCTAAACCGCTTAAGTAGACCTGAAGTGATGCAGTGACCGCGCGCTCTCCGCCCTCTATCTCGAAAACGGTTCACCGTATAAAAAAAGTTTTTAAACAAAATTTGTAGAGAATTTAGTATTCTACAATATTGATAATAAATACAAATAGCAAAAAACCCATAGGAAATGAGATATTTCCAAAAAAAGCGCAAAAAACCGACTTTTGTGACCTTTGACCTTAAAATTTAATAGTTGCTTACACCCTACCATATGTAGGTTTTGAGACAACTTTTAGGGTGTCAATATACAAGTATTTACAGACTTACAGCTGGGTATCTCTAATTCCGAGATTCTTACCTAATTTAAGCTTAAATGACTGGACTAAGTGTGTTATGCAGTTAGAGCTTGAAGCTGTCGACACTAGCTTCTTCATGTATGACGGTCTTACTCTGTATAGATCGTTTCATCCAGGAAGACGCGCCCCACCAATTTTTTTTCGAGGGAAGCGCGGGGAGCAGGGAGTTTGATCCGAGCAATCCGAGCGTCATTATTGTAGTGTGCGTGTACACCCATTGATAATTTAGCGCGTACCGATAACACTCAAACATGAGCGGAAGAATGGTGGGGCGCGTCTTCGTGGGTGGAAATATCTATCTCATCTATATCTAACGTTGTCTAGTGCCCATAGTACAAGCTTTGCTTAGTTTGGGACTAGAAGCGCAGTGTAAAATGTCCAAGGATATTTATTTATTTATCTATCTACAGGTTGTGGTTTTGTTTCAGGGGTGGTATACACGACACTGATGGCAAAAAGAATTAAAAAAAGTATCTTGAATTTTCATTGAAAATTCCATGAAATCAGGAGAATGGTATTTTGGCGAGCTATCGGTCACCAGCTACAGTCGGTAGTGTAGCGGGGTACGCGGGGGTGGTGCGGGTGGTAACAAGCGCCGTCTCGTAAATTTTAGGAGACATTTGAACAAGGTTTTTACTAATAAAGTAATCATTAAAAATTTATATACATTTTTCTTGTAATTACTTTCTAAAGTTGTTTTACAAAACCACACCCTGTATAACTCCTATTCTATGACTTATCAAGATGATTACCTCTGGCGCTTCCCCGACGATCCACTTGCAGTCTGGAGAGAATGCCTCGAGTCCGTTGCAAAGGCGGTGCAGCACGGCCTGACTCATCCCCGGCACTCGCTTCAACAGCTGCTGCAGTAACACGTGGAAGTGATCCCAGTCTTCCGGCACGCAGCGCTGAGACGCAGATGTTACTACAAAACAGAAATTAAATTAAAATATACTGGTCATCACAAAACTCGGCCCACCTACGTTTTACAGGAAAACTCGTTTCTACTGACACAATCCATGGTGCCCCAACAATATTGGTGTTATTTGAAAGCCCAATAAATATCCTTAAAGAAAAACACATTTAATTGCTTAATAAACGCTTAAACGATTAACATAATACAATAAATGTGACTTGAAAAAAGACCTCACTTTGGGCTCACCTCTGGGATCAATTAGACCAATTTTTATGGTTATAAAACCAAATAATGATCTCACGTGTCCTCTTTAACAGACTGATAGCGATTAATCCCAACTTAAGTTAACAGTTTTATAGCCATAAAAGTTGGCTCAAGCGTAACTATCTATTTTTTAAAGAAGTGACTCTGGATTCTTCTACAGACACATTTTTGGGGTAAAAACCTTTCCTTTAATCAAATGAATATTAGTGGGAAGTGGGGATGCATACGTTTGAAAGTGCTTGTCGCGGGAGGGTCGATTTTTGTGATGACCCGTGTATTTTTAAAAGCAAGCTTCTATCCGGCTTTATCATCAGACTAGCGGCCGCCCGCGACTTCGTACGCGTGGACCTCATTATACCCCCGTTAGATTCATGTTGATAGATGGCGTTTCACGGCTTCCCCCGTATGAATATTTACGAACGTCAAAAACAGTAGTTTGTCCAGCGCTGTAGACTTTAACCAATGACGATAGATGGCGCTTTTTAGACACGTCTTATTTATTTATTTAAATTTATTTGTCACATATCGTCATAAATTATAGCCTATGTTAATCTGGGTTATAAACAACTAGCTGACCCGGCGAACTTTGTTCCGCCTTAATGGCAATAAATAAGCAGACTTTTTTTTTAATTTCGAACGGGATAAAAAGTATCCTATGTCCTTCTCCTGGCTCTAAACTACCTCCCTGACAATTTTCAGCTAAATCGGTTCAGCCGTTCTTGAGTTATAAGCGAAGTAACTAACACGACTTTCTTTTATATATATAGACTAGCGGCCGCCCGCGACTTCGTACGCGTGGACCTCGTTTTACTCCATTAGGGGTGGAGTTTCGTAAAATCCGCTCTTAGCATCTATAGCGCATACATTTTAAATTTCAACTCTCTTACTTTAAACACATAGGACTTTCATAATATAAACTTCCTACCCTCCTGTTATCTCCTTAGCCCCCGTAGTTGATTTCTAATGATACATTTTCAGTATATATACCACCACCACCACCACCATTTCAGCCATAGGACGTCCACTGCTGAACATAGGCCTCCCCCAATGCTTTCCATGTTGATCGATTGGAAGCGGCCTGCATCCAGCGCTTCCCTGCTACCATGATTTATTTATAGGTGATCAATGAACACTAAAAAAAAATTATTTAACTGGAGTCCACTTTGATCATCTTGGTGATCAAAGCCAGGTGGAATAGACCATTAACCCCTATGAGAACTCTTTTGAGACTTGTAGTTTCTGAGACTTCGTGATGAGTGAGTGAGTCACTTAGTCATTCAATGACCTTTCTTTCTACTAAAATTATACGTACCTATAGTAATTATCATTAAAATCAAATAAGTAAGTACCTACCAACCTAAGTAATTAAAATAAAGACCCTACCAAAAAATTAACAAATTACATACAGAAAACAAAAACGAAGTAATTCTTATCCTATTTAACTACAATCGCCCACGCGCCCATCCCATTTGTCCGCCGCTGAACCGTACCCTAATATTCATCTCGGTAGATGGCGGCACTTAATAAGAATTTGCAAGGAAGTTTGTAAAAAGTCACTAATTAACACTTTGATTTGCTCGTTCAAACACAGTGAATGATTCAAATAGGTACATACAGAGAATGGTTCAAATACATAAAATATTTTTATTTATTAAATTTTCAATATTATTTACGAACAGCGTTATTCATAGTACATGTAATATTTAGTTACTAATTTACTAATGATGTCGATAGATGGCGTTTGACAGCTTTGCCTTCATGAATATTTAGGTACCTCAAAAATTTTTGTCAGGCGCAAGAAGATTTTAACCAATGACGATAGATGGCGCTTTTCCACGTCTTATGAAAATCCCAAATATTTTACGGGACCCTACTTTTTTCCAAAATAAAATTTAGCCTATGTTACTCGTGAGTTATGTAGCTTTCGAATGGTGAAAGAATTTTTAAAATCGGTCCAGTAGTTTTTGAGCCTATCCATTACAACTAAACAAACAAACAAACAAACAAACAAACAAACAAACAAACAAACAAAGTTTTCCTCTTTATAATATTAGTGTAGATAGATAATACTGTCAAGTTTCAACAAAATCCATTTAAATTTTTTCGTGAGAGCAACAAACATCTAGCATCCAAACTTTCGCCTTTATAATATTAGTAGGATAGGATCTCGAGACAAATCTAAAAAGCCCAAATTCGAAAGTTACATTTTCGTCACAGCTTCTATGGTCACCGTTCATAACAAGTTAAAAGGTTGTAAAAACCGTTTCTAAGTGGGCGCAAAAGACGACATGTAATTTTACTGGGTAGATAATAAGCACGAAATTCGCAAATAAAAGAAGAACAAAGGAGGGATTAAAATAAAGTCAATATTGCAATGCACAGTAAAAACAACAACGCAATCAGAAATAAAAACAAATGGAACAACGCAAATTATAAAAAAAACATTGAATAAATAAAAACAACAAAGGAAATAACAAAACAAAAGTCAAATAATATTGAACAAACAGAACAAATGCCTTTGCCAAATAAAACAAAAGAATAAGTAAAATAAAAGAGCAAAATCGCAGAGCAAGGCTTTTGCTTAATCTCAAAATAAAAATAACAATAATTTTGCTTAATTATGGAAGTAGTAAGGGGAGAAATAATAATTGATAATCTTATTAATCTTACATCATGGCTAAAGTGACGTAGTTTATTACTCCTCAGGTCAATTATTATAACTTTAGTAACTCGCATTTTGCGTTATATTATGTTTTTACTCTCAACCATATTTCCTATTCCGTGAAATACATTTGAATACTTCTTAGAGTTTCTAGTAGTATTATGTACCTATTTTGTTATTTGAAAATATGAAAGATACACTTTAGGTAAGTACGCCAACATTGGTTATCTCGGTTCGCGCTAGCTGCTTTAGCTTGAAACTTAAACATTCATAAAATATCTTAAAAATTAATATTCTTTCAACCTGTCTGTCAATATCTGTATCTGTGTAGTTTATATTTGTTTTACAAGGACAAGGCGCTGGACGCAGGCCGCTACCAAAAGGCAAATCATTAGGGGAGGCCGAAGTTCAGACAGTGGACGTCCTGTGGCTGAAATGATTATGGCGATTACAAGGACAAAATAAATAAATCAATTTATATCTGGCATACTTACTTTCTTCTTCGTACACCGGCTTGGCCACCGGCTCGAAACCTCCAGCCAATATACAGCCATCTCTTTCCCGCAGGTAAATGTATCCGTCTGGATCGCGGACCACTACGACAAAGTAAAGTTTTACTTATAAATTGGGTATTTGACATCATTAAACAGTAAATTCAAAATACAGGCTGAACGCGTTGGTATGGCCGAAACTTTAAATGTAGCCCTGACTTAAGGCTGGGTTTCCACCAAAGCGGAGATGAGCAGAGAAGTGTGTGGAATAACCAATCAGATTTCATTATTTCCACTTCTTGTCTCCGCACAGCTCGAATTCTATAGAAAAAATTGACGGCCCCGCCCGACACTTCTCCTCCGCTCCGCATTGGTGGTAACCGAGCTTAAGGCCGGGTAGCAGAGAAAATGGCGAAAATGAGGTTTTCATTTTTCATTTTTGAGGTACTAAACATTAAAATTAAAGGCTAAGATTTTTATTGGGCATAGTTGAGGATATTTTCTAGGGCTATTAACGGATGGAAACACGATTTGATGAAGTTGACTCGATAAAATAAATTCCCAAAGTTACCTCTATTCGTTTTCTATTTATGGTTTTATTTTTAAAATAAGCGATTTGAGATTCTAAATCTTTTACTAAACTAAAGTTCAGAAATAACTTGAGGGCTTTTAACGGATGAAATTTTTATATTGCGTCTTATTTAGTTACTATGTTAAAAAATGTGGAAAAAATCGTCCATGACGGCTTGGACAATCTCAATCAGTCGCGCGGTGGCGCTTACGGAGGACGGACGCGTGTCAGTTTTTTGGCCGTGACAGTTCGCGATTTGTCAATATTTTTGACAATGATGACTTTGATGAGTCACAGTATAAAAATATCAGTGTTACTGGAGAAAGCTAAAATTTTTGATAATTAAGAATTATCAATTTTGTCTACCTATTGAAATTTAAATCGTTTGCATCCTTTTAAACGAAGACTCTACTCATGATACATAGTACATTCCTCAAAATATGAGACAAAACCAATGAGTTAAAATTACATTTTAATAGTACCCACATACAATCGTCTTACACTCTTTAGAAGAGCACACTGATACAAATAAACAATAAAAAATTAGATCAGTGGGTCTAATATAGGGGCAGCTGTACGTCACTGAAAGACGATTCTGTTTACTCGGCATCTGGGCTGGAGAACATGAACCCTTGTTTACAGATGCACATGTAAATTGAGTTATAACTGGACAAATTTTACATGAAATGTTTAACAGAAATCAGTTAAAAGACACATACATGGAATACCAATAAGGTTGCGGAGGGAAAGCTACCTATTATAAAGTAGCGGCCGCCCGCGACTTCGACTGCGACCTCGTTTTACCCCCGTTAGATATCATGTTGATAGATGGCGTTTCACGGCTTCCCCCGAATGAATATTTACGCACGTCATACAGTAGTTTAAGAATTATAACGGGTCAAAGTTTCTTAATTTTGTCACTCACTGACTGACTGACTCACCGATCATCAAAATTCTAAGGTACTTCTAGCAGACCTAGAAGCTTCAAATTTGGAATATAAGTAGTGTTTGGTGTATGAATCAAGGAAAAACTAAAATATGAAAACATACGAATACTTTGACTTTTAACTTTGTTTCATTATTTAATTTTTAGCGTTAAGAGTACGATATCATATCTTTAGGAAGAAAAATAAAGCTCCTTGTTTGCGGCCAAAACACTAGAGAGAACCTAGTGAGTAGTGGAGTTACGTGTGTCATCTAAGTTCTTCTATAGTTTTGCCAACAAAAAGCCGAAAGCTGGGCTTTCCTCCGCTTAAAAGGGGGCAAAGTGATTCCTTGGTTCAATCTACTTGAAATTTAGCTTAACAATTCCTTAATATAATTCATGAAAGACGTGTGGAACGGGTAGAAAGTAATTTTGGCAGTCATTTTTCTTCGAAGTTGATATCAATACTACTTAGTGCCTTTGATTTAATTACTTTTTATTTTTACAAGTGTTTGAAAACTCCATGTCAGATTGTGTTCAATGTCAAGTGAAATCTCAAATTGAAATGTCTCAATCTCAATGAGGAGACTGTATTTATTCCTAGAATTCCCCTAACACCGTCAAATTTCCCTTTCGAATTCAAGACAGTGCAGTTTCCCATCAGTCTGCTTCGTATTGACTATAAACAAAGCTCAAATTCAAACTCTAGGGACCTCTGCTTGAACTCCCATGAGTGCACAGAGGTATGCAGGTAACCGAGTGTGATGCTCATAGTAATTTTCGATACAGAACCTCGTACATACGTCATACATATTATAGATAGAAAACACCCAGACCAATACAAACAAATATGTTTCTGCAAAGTTATTTAATTTTTAGCGTTAAGAGTCGCATCTCAAACTTGAAAATTTCGACAGGTTCATCCAGTGTCTAAGTAGCTCAGTTGGAAGAGCAGTCGCCCGGCAAGCGGAAGGTCGTGGGTTCAATTCCCGCCTTAGGCAGTTCGATTTTTTCAAGTTATTTATAATTTTCAAAATGTTTCTGCAATTTTAGTATGATATTTTTATTTATTAATAAACAAAGAGACTGAACAAAATTAATGCGTTTACTGATTAATGTTATTAACCACATGCAAAGCTTCGTGAATTGCAACAACTATAATTTATTATCCAAGCTCTAAATAATCGCTACTAAGAATAAATTATCATAAAATGTTTTTCCAATCGCTCAAGCTCCCAAGGGCCTACCGATAGGTTGGATGACGTAATCTTAAAATTCTTTAAGCCAGCGCAGAACTTTTAGAAGATCGGGCGACGCCACGGCCACTTTGAACCGTGTTTAGTTCTGCAGTTATATTTTATATTTTATTCGANATAATACGATAGAAATTGATACAAAGTAATAAAAACCACCGGTTATAGCGGCATTTTTTGGAGAAATTTATAAAATAACCAAAAAAACACGAATTTTTAAGCAGATTTTTTTCAAAAAGTATCATTTTTTATTGTTTGTTGGCATTTTTTGTGTATTCTATGTATTTTTTTAGTATCGCCTGTTATTTAGCATTATTACTGTTTTTATTTTATCAGGATATACCGCTTAGTTTAAAAGTTATTACGTTTTCTTTACAATAAGTAATTTGAAGAAAAAAAATTCTATAAAAAATTAAAAAAAAATCTCAAAATTTTTTTTACCTCTTTTTTGTCGATAAAAATAGGTCTAGTTTCATCTATTTTCATATGTACACTTTAACGTGACTCACACTGTATATAGAAAATGGTGTACCTAATTGTATTTACACGAAATCTGAAATTATAGTTTTCACAATCATGATTCGTTTTTACTGAAAATGATATGAACGCTCACTTTACTGAGTCGTAATGAGTAGTCTGCATAAGTAAATGATAATTATCTTAAAATTAAAATTATATTTGTTATTCCCAAAATCGTTTACGGAAGTAAATGAGAATTAATTAAGCTTTATTTATTCGTGTTTAACGTGAATCACAAAAATAAGGANTACCGTAGAACAACTGAGTTGCGAGACTTGGTTTTTTTTGACAAGTATTGTTTTTGATGGGATTTGTATTACAAAGTGTTGTGAGTGTGACGCTTGAAGGGAAGGAAGTCAACCTAACCTAACCAACTGCGTATTTTTCTATACTGTGTAGCTGGAAATTGTGGCGGGAGCTCTTTGGCGCGCTGTCTTCGGCGAAGAATTGCGCGCGCAGATTTTGACAGCGCGAAATACCTACTTTAGCAGAAATACCAAGCCTTAAAGCCACGTTTTCACTACGGGACATGTCGCGGAGATAAGTCGTCCGACATTAACGTAGTTTGTCTCTGCAACTTTGTCCCTCGACATATGACTTGTTTACACTAGCCAGTAGTGAACAGTATGTCACTCCGCGACAAATCTCGCGACCCGTAGATGTCGCAAGCGACGTCGGGCGACATCGCGCGGGACACGTGAATTTCGTGTCGGGCGACAGAGTCGCGGGACAAATGTCTCCTAGTGAAAACGCGGCTTAAAACACTTCAAGTTTTGATATTTTGATCAACTTACCTGGTGTCATAGGATCTAAGTTCTCTATCGGCTTTGTGTGCAGGTAATAATGTTCACATGGCAAGAGTGGTACTTTTACTTGTGGATTGCTGAGTTGACCCACCTACAAAAAGAAATGTGATAAATAATAATGTTTTTGTATGTCTCTTTGCATTTGAGTGATCGATTATGTTAAGCGTACCTCACTATCACTACATATTATAAAACAAAGCCGCTTTCCTGTCTGTCTGTCCCTATTTATGCTTAGATCTTTAAAAAACTACGCAACAAATTTTGAAGCAGTTTTCTTCCCAAGAGGAAGGTTTATAAAACATACATTATAGAGGAGAAAAGCCTAAAAATGTCATTGCAACCGTGCGAAGCCGGGCGGGCTGCTAGTCAGTAATAAACGGGGGAGATGAAAAAGTGAAAAACATACCTTTCGATATGCGGCTATATAAAAATCCAATCGGAAATAGAGTGAATGAAGTAAAGTTTAAAACCTTGTAATACCAATTTGAAATATAAAAATGAAATATTTGTGATTGAATGTCATTGCTTTGGAGATGTGATACAGGTGCTATCTCACCAAGTGAAAATTATTATAAGAAGATAAATATAAATGTACGTAGACATTCTATTTACCGAGTTAAAATTATGAACCTATATGCTAACTAAGCACCATACCATGGCAGTCCACATATAAAATATTATTATTGGTCGTACATGTAGCATCGGTGATGGGCGGTTAACTTTTTGAAAGCGAATAAGATGCATAATTGCAGCGACCATTTTCCTTTTGAAACGCACTACATCGTCTTTCCGAACGGAAAAAGGCGCCTAGACAAGATCCGACGATGCAGCTTCATAAGGGCGAGATTTCTATAACTCCGTCGAGCGTAGTAAAGTGACAATACCTAATCTTATCTTACAGAATAAACAAAACAATCAAACTTCTGTTACCTGCAAGTCACGAGATAGATCTGACGATGTTTATAGCTTCTATAGATGTAACAGATTTTCTATCGAGCGCGGAGGCCGCTAATTAAATCGGATACCTTAAATTACACCTCTAAATATAGACTTACCTGTCTGGCCCAAAAGCCTGCGCAGTTAACGAAGTATTCGCACTCGATGGCCCCTGCCGTCGTCTCCACGCCGCAAACGCGATCGTCTTTTGACAATACTTTGGTGATTGAGCAGTTTTCCATCACTCCCACTCCTGTTACAAAAAACAAAAGAGTTAATCGTTGTTCAACAATACTTGCAATATTCAACGACCAACAAAAATAGTATCTACGTAGTCAGCGTCAAATAGTTCGTCACATGCAAAGCGCCCAAAAAGTTGATAAGACAACCGTAACAAAGACGTGTTGCGAACTTTTGGGATATTTTGAATGTTACAAAGTATTTTTCGCTGACTGTACCACATCCAAATTTTATGCTTCGTTAGATCTAGTCTGGAAATTAAACTATTTGGCAGGCCGGACTGGCCAATCGAAATATCCTGTATCTCAAAAGTATTACGTACCATTTTCCACCGCTTCTTTCAGCAGAGACATGCAGAAGAGGTGAGGATCTCCCACCCCATCGTTTGGTATCCATAGGCCGCCTAAGATGTCGTCTACGTTCAGCATGGGCCATATCTCCTGGCAGCGTTTCGGCGTGACCAACTCACATGGAATGCCCCATGAGCTATCTGAGAGAAATTACGATTGGTTGATTTTTGATAGGTTTGAACGATTCTTCGAATGGTATGGCTGATCGAAATACGCGAAGTTGGAGACCGTTAGACAACGAAAGATCGGGCTTAATGCATTGAGAGAGTTTTTTGTCCAGATATGGACTTTCTATGACTTTACAATGTAAGACACGCATCACGTAAAAGTCTGTCTGAAGCCGCCGACCTACGCAACTACTACGTGAATTCTGTGTGGAATCAGGGGTCGTTGGATTCCCTCTCGAGGGCGTCGCGCATGCGCACGGCTTACAACAAGACGTTTAAAAAATAAGCACTTCCGTAACTCAAATAGAAAGACCGCGAAAACCGCGCGCGGGCAAACTCAACTTTCTAATGCCATTAGATGTAGACTGCTAGGGAGTTCTAGTGCTAGACTTGTAAGTAGCAAATGAATGATGATGATGTTGCATGTTTCGTTCTTTGGAACAAAACAGTTCCAAGCTAAAATAATGAATCTTGTGAACTATGTCTTGGTCTTTCTTTGTATATACATAATAACATCTATACTAATCTTTACTGAAGAGTTGGTTTGCTTGAACGCGCTAATCTCAGGAACTAGTGGTCCGATTTGAAAAATTGTTTTTGTGTTGGATAGCTCATTTATCGAGGAAAGCTTTTGGTTATTTTATCAGCCTACACCCAATAGGTAGCGGAGTAAAAATGTTGCAATACGGGAAATATTATTCAAATTATTTTCATGCGTACGAACTCGCGGGCAGAGCTAGTTTGCCTAGTTTAATACGAAACTGAAGCTCACCTAAGCTCGACGCCCGAAGGTGGCTTTGTGAGATACCCTTAGCTTTCGTCTGAGGTCATTTGTCTAGACAAATTCTTGGGATTGGCATATGGATCGATTTCCATGCGTACTGAGAATCGGATCCCAATTGCCCGGGGAATAATTCCCGCGCAAAGGTGTAAAATACAGGGTGATAATTTTATACTTCATCAAACAAAAATATTTCATATTTCAGTTGCACCTGTTGCGCGCCTACTTGAGTATTTTAATTTGTCTATCTTGCATAGATGAACATCCAACCGCCTCGATATGGTATCGGTCAAGAGGGCGCGCAATCCGCAATCCTCATCGCGTGTTGGTTCGCGCTGAAAACCAGCTTCTCGACATGGCGCTTGTTATGTCGCGAATATTGCTGAGCGGACGCCTCTTCAGCATAGCTTGTAGCACATCTTGTAGGTTAATGTTATGTACTGTATTTTTTTTATGCTGAATAAAGTATTCTTATTCTTATTTCAAATATTAAAAAAGCCTTTCCACACAAATCATCATCAGCTATCAGTAATTTAGTTAGTATGGAGACATAATGGTTTTTTAATTTGATAGTTTATATTAATAATGTTGGAAAAGTAGTTGTATTTGAGTAGTGGTATTCTCCAAATAAACTATAAAAGGCCCAAGGCTAGAAAAACTTATTGTGAATTATGTGATAGTGGAATACAGTGTTTTTACTCATCTTTGGACCACTAAGGGTGGGTTGCACCATCTTACTTTGACAGTGACAATAACGGGTGCTTTTTGTATGGAGTTTGACAGATTTTTGACGTTTGTCAAAGTTAAAGTAAGATGGTGCAACCAAGCCTAAGTATTCACATTTCACACCACACCCTGTAAATAAAAAGAAATGGCGAAAAGTGCTGAGAATGAGAGTGAAAGAGAAAAATGATGAACTGAATTTAAGGCGAATTTTAGAGTATCATATTTTGATTATCCTCAAAAATGTTGCATTGACGGAAAGTGGTAGATCAGGAAGATTTAAAGGTTTCCTGTTATTTGTTACCATTAGGGGTCACTTAAAAATTAGGGATTGATGGTGAAAGCGGGCATAAGAATCTCAATTTGTATGAGGAATACAAACCGGTGTAGGTAATGTGCATAAAAAAAGATGTAGATAATGTGAAATGTTCATGTTCGAAAATAAAAGGAAAATCAAATCATCTATGGGTTGTCTTCATTAGAATAGGCGCACACCGTTGATTTTTCGTCGGCCGATAGTTTAGTCGGGCAGTTGATCAGTATGGGCATGTATGGGAGTGCGCACACTACTCCAATTCGATTTGGCCGATTCTTCATACAATTTGAAATCAGGCACAACTATCGGCCAACAAAAAATCAACGGTGTGCGCCTACTCTTAGTGCCTCATTTTCAGCAATGCAATCAAACATTCATTTGTTTGTTTTAGCCAATCAACATCTACTGCTAGGCATTACAAATCGCAATATTAAACTAATTTATGAATAGATATTTTTTATGACCTACTCATTATTAGGATTCATAGCAAAAAATGCTTTTTGAGTTGACTATTCTTTTTCTACCCATTTACCCAGAATGTCACTACAGTAATGCCCGTAATTCACAAACATTACTATGAGGTTTCACAGCGCGCGTGGACGCACACTGCACAGGGTGACACATGAACCAATCACAGAGCTCTATTCAATGCTCTGCGTTCGATTTTCTGCTTTACTTAAGCGAGCATCGTTTGTTAATACGGGTGAAAATATTGATAATAAAAAGTCTAATAAGAAATAGTAAAGGTTGTACATACACAGACTGGCTCTTCATTCGTCTATACACGGTCATCCGATCTCTTGTTCTAGCAAGCAGCAGCGACCCGCACTGTTTCCAGCCAGTAGACCGCCCACGTGATTCCAGTTCTTGGAGAAGCCGTATAGAAGATTGGGCAAGACGAACTTGAGCGAGTGACGGCTTGAACATGCCCACCAGACCCGAAGAGTGCCATCGGCTGCCACCTCCTGCGCTAAGGAGAAAAACGTAATATTAATTGTTATCAGTTCGTTGTGTAAGTCGTGTTGTTGATGATTAAAAGTTGTTAGGTTACAATTAATTTCATACAGACATACTTTTACAGAACTTTTAAAAGGAATTACCGAACCAGCAAACTTAATATTATGCCATTTATATGAAATACATTTTATGGTACATTGGGATATTCTAATAATAAACTTAAAAGTTTAATCATCATTATCTTTAAGCCTTGCGACATGACCCGCCCATTTCCACTTAAGTTTCTTNTAAGTGGAAATGGGCGGGTCATGTCGCAAGGCTTAAAGACCAGAGATGGACCATAAAAGCGACCTTCTGGAAAGGACCTCCAGGTAAAAGGAACAGGGGAAGACCACTGACACGCTGGGACGACGAGATCAAAAAGACAGCCGGCCCAAACTGGAAACAGATAGCACAAGACAGAGATAACTGGGCATCTTTGGAGGAGGCCTTCACCCAATAATGGGGTTCCTACAAACTGTGACAGGTATTTGAATAGCTATTCATAACCAATTAATGCTAGCTAAACCAACGGTTAATTAATACTTATTTATTAAATTAAATAAAATTAGTAGTATCTAAATATACTTAGTTAAGAAACCTAAGTCATTGTAAAGTTAATTTGTAGGAAATAAAAGGCTTTTTATTTTATTTTATTTATTTATTTATAACGTGACTCACTTAAAATTTTCTGAGCTTCTGCTCTGTTCAATTATAAATTATTTGCGTTTAAATAAATGGAATTTCTGATGAATTTACATCCTCTGATATAAACAAAACATCCATACCTATCAATAAAGTAACTACCTATCTTTATACATAAAATCAACTGTAAAGTATTTTTCGTATTTGCTATTTAGAGTATTTTCATCGATAAAACTTTATAGCTCTTAAAGATTGATTACTACTTCCTCGGACACACTGTTTATTTTTTATAGGACCACGATAAGATAAGACGCCACAGTATGTTGCTTGATATGCCGTTGTCTGTACAAAAGTATAATGTTCCATATTTGTTTAGAAATCCGTCTAAAAATCCTAAGCATGTCGAGTGAAGTCATGCGAGCAACCCTAGATATTTCAACTTTCAGCGCCTCAGGATATTTTGCATACAACTGAAAATTCACACGTGAATTCTGAGTAAGGACTAAAAACTTTTTTGGAATTGTCCAATGGTTTAAGTTAATCTCACAGTAACTGTATCAAGCCGTGTGGTGACGGCAGAGCAGAATACATTTGTCACCAACCCCTACTCTTCCCGCGGGTGTCGTAAGAGGCGACTTAGGGACTACACATTAAACAGAGAATGGGCAGCAGCGCTCTCTGAAAAACATCAATCTTTTAAACTGCAATCTCCAACCCGCCTGCCTAGCGTGGAGATTATGGCAAAACCCTCCACTATAGTGGAGGAGGCTCATAGTCCAGCAGTGGACTGTAAAGGGCTGTTGATGATGAACTGTATCAGTTATAGTGAACTAGCATCTGCACGTGGCTTTGGACACTAAAATAAATTGAGATCCCCTTTTAAAAATTAGTACAATTACGAAGTAATTTATTACCCCTGAGAAATGGTTGATTCCAAAAGTTAGAAGGAATATTCACTAGACAAAGTAAAAAATACTATATTTTTCCTGAGTGTGCCAGAAGGATGGTTATTATATAATTACTTACTTACCTATTTCGCTCTTTGAAAGTTTTATCCTAAGCCCGTTGTTGAGGACAGTGAGGGATCAGAGGTAAAGGAGTGAAAAATATAAGAAAATATCCAAGTAAATTATTCGCGTTTAATTTCGAGACGTTGCTTACAAGACNTATTTTTTTTTTTTTTTTTTATTTATCTTTAATTATCAACAATTTAAAGTAGATAATAAATAAAATATTGCAATTGTAGTCAACAAACTAAAACCTTTGGAACTAGCAACTGATTTTTTATACAAAAACTACTTACTTTTGAATACAGTGATAGTTCTACCTTCCAAACTAAAGGTGTTTCTCATTTTAGTAGCACTATTAAGGCTATTTACACACAACTGGCTGCAAGCAAGTGCACAATGGAAGTGAAGAGTCACATCATAGTGCACATTGCACTCTCTCCCTCTCGCTACCAAGCCGGCTATCCCGGCACCCCTATTGATTTATCTGTACTACACACATACAGCAGCACTTGTATTGAACTACACCTAATTCAATAGACCAGCCAGACGCCGGCTACACAGATACACTAGCTAGTACCTACACCCTAGACGCACAGCGTATATGCGCCAACAAAATTGTATAACACACCTGGGTCGATACAATACACAAAAGTACTTACAGCTCTTTTTCTATCAGAAGAGTCTGGTCACCCCACCCTCGTTTCGCTAAATGATACGCCACTGCAGCTCCCATGACTCCTCCGCCGCATATCACCACCTTCGCCTTCGATGGCAAAGCAGAGAGACATCCTTCCAATCTTTCTTCGTTGTCCAAGGAATCGAGACGATTTGAATAATTTCGCGCAGCTACGCAGATGCCATTTTGTACTTTTAACACCCGAGAACCACCACGGAGACGCCTTACCAACATCGTTTCACTTTATTACGCACATAAAAACTCAAAAACTTATAGCTTACACAATACTAAAACAATAAAAATCTAAAAATAAAATGCACTTGCACAAAGTGACATTTTTTGTTTTGAGTTTTTGGCGCGCCACAGATTATGTAGTATGGTCACTATGTACCATAGAGTTTAAACTATGATCTATAGCTCTATGGTATGTTAGATAAAAAAGTCGACAATACCGAAATGGAAGAATTATTAACAAGAAAATAATGTTATTTGCTAATTGGCTATAGCAGCTATAGGACCATATGACCACGGTAATACTATAGATAGTATTACCGTGATATGACATAATATGCAAGAGATTTTGTTGTTGGATGAAATATTTGAGGTTGGCACATTGTTGGCAGTTGGCACGAAGCATGCACGAAGTAAAAACTTATTCGTCGTTGCTATGGCTACAAAAACCTAGATTTTTCCATGGCGTCCTCGTTTTGGTCCTCGTGCTTCATCCCTTGTTTTGTATATTTAATTCAAATAGACACTGGTGTAATTTGTATTGGATAATCTTATACAAATATCCACATAATTAACCAGAGGCCCGTTATTTTTGAAAATGTCTGTAGTCGAAATAGTCCATCATAATGAAGATATTTATAGGATCCTTGATAAACCACCTCCAGATCCACCTAAAACTCCAAGGTATTGCCTGTTTATTGATTTGCTACTACTTACCTATTTTTTTGATTACTTAAACCTAGTATTTCCGCTCCCCGTTTCAGTAGGTACAGTTTTGTAAAATCTCTCCCAACAAGGAATCCAAATCCTTGTATAAACTTGCGGAAACTTTTAGGTATGAATCTCAGTTGGAGAAGGAACTTAAAGCGAGAAAGATACCCCAACTACGGCGAACGTTTGGATATGCTGAAACACCTTTAAAAACTCCCGATAAATTCCTGAAGAAAGGTGAGGGTATAGGCCAGCCGATCAAGGAGTCCGATCACAAGTGCTACGTCACAGGAAACCTTCCCCCGGTGCCGAAGCGCCCACCTCCAGGGAAGAAACCAGAAAAGCCGAAAGTAAACTTCCGCGTGGTGAACATAAAGAAGGCGATAAAAACAAAGCCAAAGCCTGTCGAGCCAAGGTACTTCTTACCCATTTAAGTCTTTTCTCAACATAATCTCAAGCTTTCTATAATAGAATATTATTAGCTTTAGCTTCAATTCCTGTCTTTTGTCTTTTCGGCACAAAAAGGGGAATATCTTTCTTCTTTTTCTGTTCATTAGCAAATCATCGCATTGTATTGAAAATTTTAATCTTTCAGACTAGTAGATACCAGAGATGGTCATACAAAGAAGATAAAAGGCTCAGGCGAAGTGCCAGAATATTGCCTTCGACCCGACTTCGGCCAGATGCCATCGTACCTGGTGAAACGCAATAGGAGAATCCAAAGGGAGATCGATAAGATTAAATACGCGGAAGATCACAAAGAGAGTCTTTGCAAATTGATTTCCGAGCAAGAGAGGCAGAAATTATTGGAAGTAAGTCATCCGCGATAAAAAATAGGGGCAGTCATATTAATAAATCTCTATGATAAAACATGGTGCTCGCTCACGGTTACACGGTGGTATCGTGCATAAAAAGTCTCCATTTAGTGGTTATGCATGCACCAACGTTTCCTATCCTATTCCTATTGTATGTTACTACTTGTTCACATAGAAATCTAAATTATATTTTTGTCTCTAAACTAGCTATTTACATTATTTCCAGGATCTGAAATACAATTGGCAGTTGATGCAGAAAGCATTCCTTCAACTGCCCATGCTGACAGACACCATCCCAAAGATCCTCAAGAAGACGAAGATGGAACAAGAGCTGCGCCAACTGGAAAAGGACATAGCATTAGTAGAAGGCAACCCTTACATTTATATTTATGAGTAAATAAATCTCAGTTAAATACTCCAACATTGTTTTTTATTCATTTATTTAAAATACTAGCTTTCCGCCAGCGGCTTCGCCCGCGTGGAATTTGTCTGTCACAGAAAAACTTTATCGCGCGCGTCCCTGTTTCAAAAACCGGGATAAAAACTATCCTATGTTCTTTCCCGGGACTCAATACTTTCGCATTTATAATATTAACTAGTTGGGATTTAATTTATTTAAAAAATGTGATGAAATCCGCCTCTGTTCGTCGACTTTAGCATTTCCATTATGGTAGTCTTCAAAACTGAAATTGGCTCCGCAAGGAAGCATTTTGGGTCCGCGGGGTTGGATACACTTGATTCGTTTAGCCATCCCAATTCAAACGTGAATTTGAGATTTTCCATTGCCCGAGGTTCTAGGATCACTCAATCCACATGCATATCTCTCTTTTCATGCGATCTGATCTGGGCTACAAGAAGAATACAGTTATTAATATCCAGAGCTTTCGTTAGTAGCTACGCAAGGTNTAGTATCTAAATATACCTACTTAGTTAAGAAACCTAAAGTCATTGTAAAGTTAATTTGTAGGAAATAAAAGGCTTTTTTATTTTTTATTTTTTATTTTATAGGTACCTCTACATAGGCCGGCCGCGCACCGCCGACTTACTTATTCACGAAGACCCGCGGAGGCGTCCGCTAGTGAAATATGACCCTAATTTATTTATTGCCGATTTGTTCTTACAAAGGGGAGGTGCGTTTACACGGGACGACTTGTTAACGATCAGATTATCAAAATTTACTCTTAAATATTTATTTTTTTGTGGTTGTAAAGACTCACCGGGGAGATCATGAACTCGGTTGTCAGATGGTACACATAAAATAATGAAAGTAATATCGTGATTTCGTGATAGAGCGTCGTCTTACGTCCTCTGTTGGACAATCTCATAACGACCGGGAAACGAATCTCTGATTTCCAAACGACCGGGCCTGCGCTACCCGCATCCAGGTTCTTCCAGCGACCCCCACTAGATCGTCGGTACATCTAGTGAGGGGGCTGCCCATGCTACTTCTTCCGGCCCGTAGTCGCCACTCGAGAACCTTTCTGCACCAACGGCCATCTTTTCTACGAGCTATGTGTCCCGCCCACTGCCACTTGATTTTAGCAATTCTGCGAGCTATGTCGGTCCTCATTTCTGATTCACAATCACGCAGGGAAACTCCGAGCATAGCCCGCTCCATCGTCCTTTGGGAGACCTCGAGCCTTCTTAAGAGGCCCATACTTAGTGAGCGACCACGTTTCAGATCCATATTACCATCACTGGCAACACACACTGATCAAAGACTTTTGTCTTGAGACGCTATGGTATTTCGGACGTGAGTATATCGCGAAGCTTACTAAAAAAGTACAGCTTCGTCAGTCGTGCCGTGTAAACGCCAGCCGTGCGCGTGAATTGCCCGTGAATAATATATGCCGTTCATTTGGATCCGCCTGCTAATAATGCAGGCCTGCGGAGGAGCGGCTCCTGTGCGTTAGAATGAAGCTGTGCTTCATTTTGCCTGAGATTCGTTTGTTTATTTTAGATTGGGATCGAAATTACTTTTTCATTTTACCTAAATACATTTGTGGAGAAATATGTGATCTTCAGGCCTCCTCAACTCCACTTGGTAAGACTAAATCCACTATTTGTCTCTGTTGATTCATTTGTTCGTTCGTTCGTTTCAGCCGAATGATGTCCACTGCTGGACAAAGGCCTCCCCCAAGGATTTCCACAAAGACCGGTCCTACGCCGTTCTCATCCAGACACCTCAAGCGACCTTCACCAGATCGTCGGTCCACCTAGTGGAAGGCCTTCCCACACTATGTCTTCCGGCTCGTGGTCGCCACTCGAGAACTTTTCTGCCCCAGCAGCCATCGGCTCTGCGAGATATGTGTCCCGCGCACTGCCACTTGATTTTAGCGATTCTGCGGACTATGTCATTCACTTTGCCGCTCCATCTACCTACAGAGCTACACTATTTTGTATGTAAGCTGCAAGCAGGCGTATAATGATGAATACACGTTTTACTAAGTGTTCATCTTGCCCTTTTTTTTCGTCAGTAAATGCATGAAATTGCATACCCACTGGCCCGGGGGAACCAGTGGGTTATGTGAGGCTCTCCCTGCCGGATGGGAAGGGCCTACTCACTAAAACCTGACGGTGTCCTCCCAAAGTCTGGGATGGAACTGCGAGTTATTATCCGAGCTGGACGGCCTAGACATTTTTTCGCGGCTCCGCCCCAGACTGTGGCTCGCTCTGTTTGAGCAAGCGATGACTGGCTTCAGGGGAGTAGTACCACCTTCCCTGTTCTTCGCTAACGGTGCGCGTGTTATACACGGGTCCTCCTTTAGTCATCATCATGCCCTGACCTCAAATCATCAGCAGGTCAATAAGCGTTTAGACGTACTCGTGTAGACACTTAATGATCTGATGATGATGATACATTTTATAACCAACTTTACATCGGAAGTCCCTGCACAGTGGCTTTCTTTTGACCGCCACAGGCTACAGTGGCTCAGTTTACAGCGACGTTCAATAAATACTATCTCGTTTACACGCGCCATTTACTCCTGTTTTAGTCCAAGACAATAAAAAACCACTGAACACGTCTGAAGCGGTCCCTGTCTGGTAGGGTTACCATTCGTCCGGGTCGCCACTCCGGTTTTGGCGATCCGGTTATGTGGCTCTTAAATTGTTAACCGGATCTTTCGTTAAATAGATAAATCATTCCCGTTTGCACCATCAATCCCTAATTTTAGGTGACCCCTATGAAAACAAAATTCCTGTTATGTGTTACCATAGGGGTCACTTAAAAATTAGGGATTGATGGTAAAAACGGACATAAGTCAATTTAAAAATTACTTACTCCAAAGTGTAGAAAAAATATTTATTTGAACAAACAAAAAATTGTGACATGCAATAAATTATTTGAAATACTTACATTGTTTGATATTTTCAGAGTTGATGACAGTGTGCCAAGTGCCAAGGTTAGGTAGTATACACTACATTTACCGGCACATACGACCGAGTAGAGCCTCCTTTTAAAAACAAGCGTAACTTTTTTCAGGTGTTTTTGTTATAAGCATTTTGGACGGAACGTTCTAAAATATCACAATGGCAACCCTAGCTTCAAACCATTAAGCTCGCTCGCTTTTTTCGCTCCGCTTGGTTTCACGTCACGTGGT